TTATATTTATAAAATTTTTAATATAATATTATAATATATAAAATAAAAATAATATTAATTATATAATATATTTATTATTATTTATATAATATTTAGATAATTGCTATTGGCACACCCTTGTTTTGCTATCGGGGGCTTATTGGTACACCCTGTACAACGGGTACATCCCCACCAGTCTCCCCCAGCTATTTTCAATTAAGTCAACTTTACCACATTTTAACACATCAACCATTAGAACTTATTCAATCCAGCGATGCAACATACAAGATTTACATCGCTGTTTTCGCCTCAATTAGAGCTTTCTAATGATATAAGTCTCAATTAAATGCATGCGTTATTTCGAAGGCTATTCAATTGAATACAGGTATGTATGCGACCGCAAAGGAGCCTCCCGCAGAGCCTCATCCAGAGCCTCATCCACCCAACACATCGACTATTATACCATATGTACTGCAAGAATCAACATACGAGATATACATCATTAGAATCGTCTCAATTAGGGGCGTCTAATGATATATATATCGATCCGGTGCAGGCGTTAGGTGTAAAGTTATTCGAGTATGTGTGGTGGTGGCTGCTCTTGGGGAGACCACGTGATACACTTTCGGGTCGGCAGGAGGCTCTTTTGCGGTCGCGCGCCACGTTGAATTGACTATATTTTCGAATAGCAATTGAAATACGGCATGCATCCAATTAAGATATATATCATTCGAAAGCGCTCATTGAGGCGAAACTAGCGATGTAAATCTTGTATGCTGAATCGTTGGATTGAGGAGCGTGTAATGGTTGATGTTGTGGTTGATGTGGTAGGAGTTGAAAATGGGTGGGATGTATTTCGATGTACTGGGTGTACCAATAAGCTCCGATAGCAAAATGAGGGTGTGCCAATAGCAATTGTCAATATTTACGATATGTATTTAAATTTTTTTTTTTTAACATTTATTTTAATAATTTTATAAATATTATTTTAAATTTTATATAAATTACGTTAAAATTTAAATAAAAAAATGTTAAAAATTACGGTTTAAAATACACGTGATTTAACTTTAAATTTATTAAAATATTAAAAAAATAAATATTTATATATATAAAATAATTTTTTTATTAACGTTTAATTTTAATTAATTAACGTTTAATTTTAATTAATTAATATTTAACTTTAATTTATTAACATTTAACTTTAATTAATTAATGTTTAATTTTAATTTATTAACGTTTAATTTTAATTAATTAACGTAAAATTAATATATAAAATTAATAAAATTAAATTAAATTTTACTTAAGTTTTATTTATAATATATATTAAAATTTTTTAACATAAATTTTTAAGTAAATTTAAAACATTAAAAGTTTCGTAACGTTTATAACGAAGAAAAAGTAAGCTTTTCGAATTAAAGTTTAAGTTTATTAAAATAAAATTAATATTATTTTTTAATAATTATATAAGTAAAACCGCGTATATAACTTCGAAAAACCCACGTGCGCGTAACGCACGTCGAAACGCCTGCGTAAACTTACAAGTAAAAACGTTTCGGTAAATTTTTCTAATATAAAAGGTGCATGAAAACCATTCTTAAGTTCATTAAAGCATGTTCATTTCCTAATAATTATGTATCGACACGTTGTGGTGGTAAGTTTAATGGCAAAGAGCATGTTATTTATTCCATCCGCTTCTTCGCAAGTTAAAACAACCAAATCACCCGCGCAACCACATCGTTGACAAACATTGAAACTGACAGTTTAGGCTCTTTATGCCAAGGCAACCATGTGCTTACTTTATTGCAAGCTTCCAATGCGTAGAATGCCATGCAAGACTCACGACTACAACATAAATGATGAATCTGATATTCGCGATGGCCTCCAAGGATGACAACCGAATAAACACCAAGGACGGGAACACCGGCGCGATGAATAGTAAGAAGATTAGCCCCGACAAGCTAAAAATTCCTCAGGTAATCGGAAAGGCTGCCAGATATAAAGCCGCCCTCGAAATTCATGGAGAGCATCTCGAAGCCCATCGCAATCAGCTGAAAGAAATCCAAGAGAGGCACAGTTTGGTAACTGATGAGATTATACCTAAATTGAGCCTCATGGGAGAGGCCTTACAAGCCAGGATGGATTCTATGCAGCTCAAGGTTGATCGCCTTCGTGATATTCGTTTGGAAATCGAACGTAACCAGGCTGCAGAGGAGGTCAACGCGAAACCAGTGGCTGACGAGACTCCACCCCAGAGGATGATTCTCAATCCGCAAGTACTTAATGCTATGGGGCTTCGTGATCTATCGAATCTGGTCAGTCGCGAGGTAATTAAGCTAATCTGCGAGCTGGCTATTCGTGGCGCTCCCGTCACAACCCCTTCTACAACACCACCTCCTCCTGCAACTCCGCCTCCAGCCACGCCTCCTACCGCAGTACCTCTTACTACATCTCCCCATACACCATCTACTATTATCCAGCCTTCCCCCGAATTACCTTCTGCTCCTTCGTCGCCGCAGAAGACCTATAAAGAGCGGCAGAAGGAGCGGCGCAAGCAGAAAAAGGCGGAGAAAGCAAAACTTCAAAAGCAGCAAGCTCTCGAATCGACAAACGCCAAAGTCCATATGAGCCGCAAGCTCATGAAGGAGAAGAAGCTAGCCATGAAGACGCCGATGAAGAGACTCCGGTCACTTCGAATCAAGGAAGAGATGATGGGATCGCGTACTGTTAAGGTCATAAGAGATAGGCTATGGAAGATAGGGCAGGCGATCCGTTGGGCCCCTGTTCTTGTGTGGATGCGCTCGGTTCGGAGGGTTGATATGGAAACTCGTTGGAAACTACGAACGAGACCGTACGCGTTTTGTTAGACGTATCGGCATAGGACTGTATGTCTCGAGATTAGCCGCGTATATTGTGTACGTCTAGTTGGAAAGGGGACATCCAGCTTTGTTTATATCTTAGGGTGTAGAAATTTTGATGCCTTAAATTACTTAGGTACCATGCTAGTATTCACTCTTTTGTTAATGTAATAATAGGTCCTATAGATCTCTTTGTTGACCGCTGTATTATTGATAATCTTAATAATGTTGTTTCAAAATCATAATTAGATACACCTAATGGATTAAAATTCATTCGGATAGGAATTAAAAAGCAGATAAAATTCAGCATTTATGGGACTATAACTAAGGAGCAACTTCTTGGGAATGATAGAATACTCTCGAGACTCCCATGTCAGGGGTAAGTCTAGACAGATCTTGCCATTTAAGCGATCGGCAACCAATATCAGAATCCAGGCTAGAGTATATGCCCAACTGCCATCAAATTGCGGGGACCCCGCGTTCAAGTAAATCGTTATAGATAATTCGCCAAGACGGAAGATTGGCAATACAAAGAGGTCGACCGAGCCCGATGAGGAAAATTGCTTATTTAGCCAACGAGCTTATATAAACTGAATAGTGGCGGCATTAGCATGAAGTAGATTGCCAGCCCCTGAATAATATAAAAGAGCTCCGCATGAGTTATGGCGCAAGACGCGCGATTCGATGACGGTCTGGTATTTATACCGGACCCGGGTCCTGGGAGCTTACTCGATACGACAGATCGTCGACTCACATAAAATTACCATTACCATAGACGTTTATATTCAAGATGAAGAGCTTCGGTGTTCTATCTGCCCTAGCTTTCGCTAGCATTTCTGTTGCTCAGACCCCGTCGGGCTTCACCCCCGTCGTGGAGCAAAAGCTAGAGGTCACATTCGGGACCAAATCTGTGACGCCTGGTCTCGCGCTGGCGAAGACCGAAACCTCGAGACAACCGACTATTGGCCTGGGCATTCCTGCTAACGGTACCTACCTATGGATGCTGATCGGTATGTTATATCGTCCAAGTTTCCGGAGTCCAGCTGGCTAACCGTCTATAACAGACCTCGACGCGTATGTTTCAACTACTCCTGAAAACTTGTTTACTGATTGCCAACTCCGTCTGATACTAGATCTACCAACTTCATAAACCCCGGCCAGGGGCAACCAGCTACATATCTCCACACCGTAATTCGAGACTTCAAGGCCAGCGGTAGCGCATCAGCCGACGGCGTCAGCACACTTACGTCCGCGGCCACCGGCCCCGTAGCGTGGTTTGCCCCGGCACCTCAGCCGGAGAATCCCCCTCACCCGCACCGATACACGAACCTGCTTTGGGAACAGCCAGAGAACTGGCAGGTCCCCGCGGCCGCGAACCAGATGCTGCAGAGCCAGAAGACTGGCTTTAGCGTTCCCAAGTTCATCACGGCTGCTGGGCTGAAGGACCCTATCGCCGCGAACTACTTCAACGTCACGGGTTGAGTGGGGAATGTATGAGAAAAGGGGGGACACAAGAATGTATATATGAAGAAACCCCGATGTGCATTGGCGGAGACGGCTCTGCATTCTCTCGATGTCGAAAACATCTAACTAAGGCCCCGATATTCCCTTTGTAAATTTACCAAAGTCATTGCTATCGCTCTTTTCATTCGTAATCTCAGAAATGACTGTTTACAACAACTCGGCCACCTTTGTGTTGTATTAAATGCTCACGCCATTTCCGCCGTAGACGGGAAGTAAGCCCCTTTTGGTAAGGAATCCAAAGCATCGCGATTAATATCTTTCAGATCCGGATACCCCGCGACGTTCATCAAGATGTCGAAATCTGCCAAAAGTCCCTTCATGACGTGACGCACGCCTTCCTCGCCGCCGGAGCCCAGCGCGTACACCCATAAGCGACCTATAAACACAAATTTTGCTCCGAGAGCTAGAGCCTTGAACACGTCAGCGCCACCCCGGACGCCCGAATCATACATAATCTGCCGTATATCTGTTAGTATCATATTGCTTTTTCCTTACCATTTTCATATCTCTACTTTGGTAAACTCACGTATATCTTATCCCCTACCGCCTCTGCAATCTTCTCCAGCGCATCCAGACTCGCAATCGCACCATCAACCTGCCGCCCGGCGTGATTCGAAACTACAATCCCATCGACCCCCAGTTCAACCGCCTTGCGCGCATCTGCCACGCTCTGGATCCCCTTGATGCAAAACGGCTTCCCACCGCTAAGCTCCTTCCAATTCTCGATTAGCCAAGGCAGTCTCTTCCACGAGAATGAATGCCCGTGCCATATGTGCTTATCGATCCAGTCCGCGCCGACGCGGTACTTGTCCTTGGGATCTTTCGGGTCTGGCTTCGCCTCTCGCAGACGATCTAGGAACGCCGGGTCGTTGAGCCCGAGGTCGCCTGCCCCGTGCTCGTGGTAAAACGCGTAATTCCCATGCGCGGCGTCGTCGTGTCGCCAGCCTAGCTGCCATGTATCCGTGGTCAGCATGCACGCGGTATACCCATTTTGAGCGGCACGCCGCAACATCGACAGCGCCACGGCGTCGTGCGGGCTCCAGTACAGCTGGAAGAAGCGTACGCCGCCGTCGCCGTTGGCGCGCGCCACGTCCTCGATGCTGTAGCTGCCGGCGGAGCTAAGACAGTACGGCAAGTTCAGTTCGCCAGCCACTTTGGCGGGGGAGAGTTCCCCCGTCGCGTGATAGATCCGATTGATGCCGATAGGTGCGAATCCGATTGGTGCTGCGACGCGGTGGCCGAAGATGGTGGTTGCGGTGTCCCGCTGGTCGGTGTCGATGAGCATCCGCGGCACGATTTGGTGTCGGTAAAAAGCCTGTCGGTTAGAGTAGTGCGTCCACGAGAGGCCAGCGTTGCAGGATGCATAGTGCCTGAGATTTAGGTGAGATTTGATTCGAAGACTGGTATTTTGTTACGAAGTAGACATCCATACCATCCAGACAGGCTGAGGTGCTCCCTAGCCGTCTCTCTCAGCTTATCGGGGTCTATGGGTTTCGTTAGGTTACTCGATACTCATATTATATTATGGGGGTCAATTCTCACGGGTGTTAAAGGGCGTATGTTTTCCCTCGTTCGGTGCCCAGAAGAGCTCCCTCTGATAGAGGCCCCATTGCGGCGTCGTGCGTTGGGTGATATTGGGGTTATCTGGGTTGCTCATGGTGACACTTAAGGATATAAGTCGATGATATATGTGTATTTCGAAGTTTACTTGTGATTGTTTGCGGACTTCAATATCTCTAGGCGAAATTCATTCCTTTTTTATACGTTTCTAGCCGTAGAACAGCACCCGATCGACGGCGCCGTAAGACGTCCGATGACATCAAGACGCGGTCATTGATTTGCCTGCAAAACTAGGATATGGCGCGGCAATACATAGAGTTCAAGACAACAATAAGCAACATGCAGGAACCTAGTTATTCGCATCTGGAGATACTCTGGTGACTTTGAAATTGACCAATTATACTTGTCTATTGATTTTATATATACTCCAGGTTGAACCCAAAAGCTCATAATCCCCCCGAGACGGCGATACTCCGAACATTCTCCATCCGAACCCATATTTACAACGTAACGGCAACTTTCCGAGGAGTAGATACGATGGGTCTTACCCAATTGTTTGGAGTAAGATCATCGATAACTTCCTCGAGATGTCCGGAAACGGTCGAAGGCCGCCCCTAACAGTTCCATCATTCAACATATTTTCATGTAAGAAATACCAATGGCCAACGATAATAAGTGCATTCGCCCGACGGATCGCAGGACTGGTGCGAAAAAAGGAGCACGCTTTCGCACTTCACTCGGCCTTCCGCTCTGGATCTCCGAACGAACCTTCCGATTCACCAGTCGTCGTTCGCAGTTTAGACACCTCCCCACGGTTACTGGAACGACCGATTACTGCGCAAGGCTTAGGCAGATAGCGAGAGTCGACCGACAGCAACAGCTAGTTGTTGAGACCTTAGAGAGAGGACGGAGTAGAGGTAGGAGAGTAAATAGTAGCGCTCCCCGTGACATTGGTGGGGGCCCATATTGTTGCGCTGCCAGTTACATCAGGGGGGAAATAAGGTAGCGACATGCTGCCGGTCACTTCGGCTGGAGCCGAAGATGTTGCGCTGCCGGATAGGCTGGGTGGAAAGTACGGTAGCGACACGATTCCCGTGACATCGGCTGGGACGGAAGATGTTGCGCTACCAGTTGCCCTCGAGGGAGCCCAGAGTGTCATGCTACCCGTTACGTTGGCCGGGGACGTAAACGTTATGCTAGGGCTCGCCTTAGCAATTGGGTTGGCCATTCCCATGCTAAGCATGGAAATAACGGCGACGAAGGAGACGATGGCGTTCATCTTGTTCGTATTATGATAATAATCAGACTTAGATGAGAAGCTTGATTCCCAGATATTTAGCACTATACCTATCGGCGAACCTTCATCTTCTATTGTGTAACTAGGTCAATTCTTATATACGATTCTTGAGAGGCAAAAGATAAAAATTTTCATACCTTTTCGCATTCTTCTTCATTCCAAGACCTTCACCTCCGAGTCTGAAGTTCCCCTTTCAAGGGAGACCAAGATGCATCCCATCGGTGTAGGACGTCGATGTTGTCATCGAAAATAGCCAGATCCGTATTGCCTAATATCCGACCGGCCGATCCAAGCCTCTTGGAATCCGCGGAGAACCCAAAAATAGGTCACGCATTATATAAACCGAGGAGTTGACGCGATATTCTTGCGTCGCGACTGGTGATGCGTGGCATGAGGTTACAAAGACGAGCATGACCCCAAGGTTGGGTAATTACCCAAGTCTCGTCGAGTCTAAGAACCACTCCGAAGTAGCCAAGCAATCGGGTCACCTCACTTTACTTGATGTTCGATCGATCTGCGCTCGAACTAAATATAGCTATAAGACGAGTCGCAGCACTTGCTTTGCATGTAATAATAGGTCGAGAACTTTCCTATACTGTAACTTTCGACTTAATGCTTTTCTTCCACTGGTCGATCTCGCAACGGATTGAACATCGAAAGCATACTTCTTTCCAGATCAGCCTTAGATCGTTCTGTTGAAATTAGGCGTTTATTATCTGAGCAAACCTGAACCAAAAACTACACGATGGGTATCTAAACGTAAATCTGACATTAACCACAGCATACGGACGCCTCTTCCAGGCCGCTGCTGGTCCCTTTATCTGATTGGGATTCATTTCCGATCACGACCTTAGCGATCATCCAATCGCATAAAAACTTTCCAACGCCAGCGCCGATAATGATGCTTATTATGATGTAGCCGTTATATGACATGGCTATTAGCATGAGTATATATGCGGCACCGAACGCAAACGCGTGTATGACAGAACGGATTAGCTGCTGTACGGGCGTTGCCCTAAACGTGACGACTTGTGGCCCCGGGGCCGGCGCCTCGGAACAGCATGAATCTTCCGCTTTGGATGCGCGCGCTTCCGCCGCTAGATGCTGCTGGAACTGCCGTAGTATAAAGCTGTCATATTCCTTTCCTATCCGGCGGAGGAACTCTAGGCATATGACGAGAATAAAAACGCCGATACACGAAGCTGCAAAGGTCCCTTCGTTTTCAATGCGCCATGATTCAGCAAGGAGGCCTAGTATCTGTTAATAACCTGCCTTACCCATACCAAGCCTCTTGGATACGTCTTGGATATAATGAGGATAGTGAGGAGGCCTTACAAGTGCCAATAACATTCCAGTTCCATGCCATCTATTTCTCGGTCAGTCATTGTCCAGTCGGCTGTATTTTCATATGAATTAGTCAAACGTACCGCATGTGTGCACGTAGCGTTGCTACTCCCCGTATCCATATGGCTGTGATCCATGTTGGCGGTTAATTTAGATGCGCCGGCAAAATTAGTAACAACCTTCCCGTTGGGTGCGCTCGGAAGATGACACGGGAATCAGCCTGCAATTGGACCCGGGACGAGGAATTTTGGCCTGCGAAGACTCAAGTTTTAGGATGTAGGAGCACTGATGCCTTTATTATGCTGCCGGTTTTCCAAGACTTGACGACCCGCTCGATATAGAAAGATGACGATATCTGATAAAATGAGAGTATAAGAGCAAGATTTGGCCTTTTGGGAAGGTCGATGGTTCGAGGATTAGAAAAGACCGGGCGCGGCGACCGCGCCTACAACGTAAAGTCCCTCTTTAACAGTCTTAGATAAAAGCGTCAGATGGCGGGTCTCAGCGGAAAGGCGGATGATCGTATCTAGGACGCAGGCAAAGTGGATACGAATCCGACTGTTTGGCCCATTAGGGCTTCGTTTCCAACGGCTCGACGCCTCAAACGTCCAAGGCTCTAGTCTATTATTGGTGGTCTTAAGTAAGACACCCTTGTACGCCAAGCCATATACGACCCCTGAAAAACGTGCTCAATTCTTCTCAAGCTTTCCCTTCGCGGGCTTAACGGCCTGAACGGTATATGTTTCGAACCTTCGGGGGGTAGCATCCTTGAGCAAGTTTCCACCAGCGCGCCGAGAATGACGGAGGTCTCAGGGAGGGAGTTGTCCTCTAGACGGAGGAGGCAACTTGAAGGTGGCACCACCTTGTCCCGGCAGTGGGTGCAACGGTTGGACGGCATCCTACCTAACTAGGTCAACCAGCTGGACTTGCTTGTCTATCTGGACACTTTATTATATTATCACCGCGTCCACTGGCTCCCTGCAACTGCAAGCAACCGCAGATCATCAATCAACCGTCGACGGGAGCTAAGCTTGCAGACTTCTTGCAGACTTTGCAGCCCTATTAAACAAAAGCCTTCCCGCTTCTCGGGTTACGCCAGTCGCTCGCTCGTCATACGCGATCAAACGCATCCCAGTCTCTGTCGTTAGGACGACTTGCAGAAAGATGGCTACCATGGAAAACCCGCTGGCAGCTCGCCATATTCAGAATTTCAGCGAGGCCGCCGCGTTAGAGAAGCACTGGGGTTATGTCGACAGGGCCGTTCCGTGTACCAACGACCCCGGATCTTGCGCCTACCTGGATCAGGTGTATGGATCCCACGATTTGACAATGGTCTATTCCGGCATAATGTGGGCGGCAATTGCTGTAATTCTCCTGCTGTGGACTATCGGAAGACGCATCTTCCCGTCCCCTCGCGCCGACGAGATACCCACCGGTACCGTCGACAGCGAAAGGGTAGCAAAAATAGCTAGTCGACGCTCGCGAATAAGGAGGACGGCTGCGGCGTTAATCCGTCGCTACTTATTACCCGACTCAGTCCGATTCGTCTTTGGCCGAACGACGCGACTTCAAGTCTTGATTTTGACCGTCCTGGCAGGCTATTTGTTAATATTTAGCTTCCTCGGCATCACCTACCAGACGTGGGTTACGCCCATAAAGAACAACCCCGGGCTTTACAACACCAGAACGAGCTTGGGCCCGTGGTCCGACCGAGTTGGCGTCTTTGCGTATGCCCTCACGCCACTATCGATCTTGCTATCGAGCAGGGAATCTATCCTCTCTCTTCTTACTGGCGTTCCGTACCAGAGCTTCAACTTTCTTCATCGCTGGCTCGGCTATATCATCGTTGTACAGGGGTCTCTGCACACTATTGGCTGGACCGTAATCGAAGTCCGACTATATCAACCGCAGCCGACGACCGCGATAGAATGGATCAAGCAGCTGTATATCATATGGGGAGTTGTCGCGCAAATCTTGCTGTTAATCCTCTTTGCTCTGAGTACTCCCTGGGGTATTCGCCTCACCGGTTACGAGTTCTTCCGCAAGGCGCACTACGTCCTGGCGATGGTATATATTGGGGCCTGCTGGGGTCATTGGGCGAATTTGCAATGCTTCCTAATCCCGGGGCTGGCTCTCTGGTTCTTGGACCGTGGTGTTAGACTCTTGCGCTCGGCCCTTATTCATTATCAATATTTACCTGGAGGATCCATGGGGTTCCGAGCGGCACACGCATCTTTGACGCACTTTCCCGACGCAGAGCACGGGGACGTCGTGCGTATGGATTTTACCTATCCTCAAGATGCCTGGAATGTTGGACAGCATTTTTACCTTTGCTTCACGGAGTGCAGTTTATGGCAATCTCATCCGTTTACGCCGCTCAACTTGCCAAAGGTACAGGATGGGCTTGTTTCGCACTCGTACATTCTCAGAGCGAAGAAAGGAGAGACGAAGAAGGTCGCAGAACTGGCTGCGAGGAAACTAGCCGCGTCGCCTAGCGCAACGACCCCGTTAATCCTGTCTGGAACCTACGGAGAATCGATAGTCGATGAATTGACACCGGAGGTCAACGTGCTCTGCGTGGCTGGTGGAACAGGAATTACATTTGTCTTACCGGTATTGCTTGGAATAATAGAGCAACCAGAAATGAAGGACCGGAAAGTCCAGCTGGTCTGGGCAGTAAGGAAGAAGGATGATACCCGTTGGGTCGAGAAGGAACTCGCTACGATTCGCAAAGCCGCCAAGGCGCATAAGATTGAAGTTAACATATATGTGACGAGGGAAGCAAGCAGTAGGAGCCCGTCGATAAACGATGACATATTAGAGAAGGACGACATAGCCGTGAAGGAGTCTGGTTTGGCTTCGTCTACTGTTTCCTCTGTGAAGGGTGTTCAGTCTGCGTCGTCCCTCAATGTCGAGAGAATCGGAGGGGAAGGATTTGACAGGCACCCCGACCTAAACAAGTTAGTTAGGGGATTCGTAGACAACACCGTAAGAGGCTCTACGGTCGTATATGCAAGCGGACCAGGAAGCATGATCAGCGACTTGAGGAGTATTGTAGCGTCATGCAACTCGGGCGGGAAGGTCTGGAAAGGAAATGGTCGATATGATGTTAGCTTAATATGCGACGACCGACTCGAGTGGTAGAGGCGTACTTGAGTTGAGGGAAAACCACAAAAAAAAAAAATACTATAATGTTTAAAGCAGCCGGTGTTACCGTCTATTATTAACCTGATTGTTATTTGTGCCGAGTCTCACACTGTCAAGTGACAATTATTCATTCCCTATTCCCATTATGATGATGACTTCAAGTGATGTGAATTTCTTGTGTTTTGAACCTCGATAGGTCAACCTCCCGCCAGTGTGCAGTGCTCATTCCGACCCTCCGGTAGGATCCATCCTTGCGCATGTGGAGGACAAGCAAATACTTGTCGTTGGGCGACTCCGTCATTACCAACGCCCAGCACAGTCGCGGTGACCGACGATCTAGATCCATGACACAGCTATTTATTGGCCCGGAATGAAAATTTGGAGAGTCAGTCGGCTCAAACGTCAAGACACCAACGTCGTGTTTATTATCTTGGGGGGGATGATAAAACATCTGTGCAAGGCGGCCCCTGAGCTTTATAATTCCATCCGGGTAGCCGTATATAGCCTCCTTCTCAGCTTCTATTGCTACATCTAAGACCTCAACGGCAAATCCCCCGATCCGGAGTGCCCAAAAGTCGAGTGCACCATCGAGGGCAGCCCAACTCCAGCTAGGCGCGCGTTTCGTAGGCGGCTTAGATAGTTCGGAGATCTCGTCGGTCGTTGATATCCCCCAAACTTTCCGACCTGGCGCGTGGTAATAGTGGGCGCACCATAGGAGACCACGCGCGATATCTTCCCGCCATAAGCCGGCGATATACGTCGCGGTTGGCTTGGTAGACTTGAATAATGCTGCAGCTCCGACAACAGCAGGTAGCTTGTCAGTAGAAATGGTGAACTTCCGTGTAGTGTATTCTTCTAGCAGCTGATACCATGCCTTCCAATCTAACTCGATACCCTGGGCAGCGCATACACCAATCTGTTTTCGGATCTTCATGAACTTTGCCACGAAGTGCCCGTCCGACTCGCCGGTGTAATTCTTTCCGTCCTCGCACTTGAAATCGGTGAGACACTCCCAGAACATCTGCTCCTTTCCAAAGTGCAGCACACGTTTGGCCAGAAGTCTTTCTTGCATGCACCAACCACGGCCGTTTAACGGGCATTCCGTAAGGCATTCGTTAATATCAGGATACACCTTTTGGACGGCGTATTCGTCGCTTATTAGCGACAGTGGCGCTCTGTTTGGTGTGAGAAAGCCATTGGTGCTGCCCGCGGAATCGAGGACAGATATCACTATCGAAGCGCCCGCGTACACGGAATACATCCTCCCAGCTTCCTGATCCCAATCTAGCTTCGAGTCTTGGATGATACACAGGGCGTCTATCCACAGGTATCGTAACCCGATGGCCCTGGTAACCTCGATAGCGTCCTTAAAGTTCTGGGGTAGTTCATCGATGTCCATTCCATTGGTTCTTATCTTTAGGTTGGCCATTGTGGTGACGGATGGGATTATACCACCCCAACAGTGGCTAAGTGTAGCATATAGCATCTTTTCACCTTTTGATTCGTATATACGGATTCGTCCCGTTTCGCTGTCGCTTATATCGACCACCCTTGTTGGAAGTGTATTATGCAAGTCGGATTTGACACAGTTTGGGTGAGCTTCGGTACACTCTTGCCGCCACTTAGCCGCCACCCGAGAGATATGCGATGGGGTTAGAGTCGTCGACACGGCCGGAAGTCTCCTGTAAGCATCTAACCAAGGTACCTCTTCTCCTTTCCTCAATGGCTCTCGTCGGCAGATCCTAAAGCTGTGCAGTGGGATACTTCCAATCTTATTACTTCCCCAGGGCATGTTTTGCAGAGAGTCGCGGAAACCAGCGCGAAAATGGCCTTTCAGCTTGTTGTCTCCTATATGACCTGAGGACCAGAACGGGTATAAACCTAACCAGCCTTGATGTAGAGCTTTGTTCAAAGATGCGAGGTCCACGTAGAGGACATTACATAATTCGCACATCTTGGCGCTATTTGTAAGGTCTCCAAACGTCTCATGGTGACGGAAGGCATCTCCCCAGGGCTTCTCTGGTGTCCATTGCGAACCTACTGGCAGCCATCGTGCGGGATAAACGGCCTGTCTAGTAAAGTCGAAGGAGAAGAGGTTGTCGATGAATTGGTGGCAAAGTTCACATAGCGATCCTGTGATAGCTATCGGAACTGGGCTCATATTGTTAGATGCGGGTTATGTCTGTCTCGTAGATTTGAATTTCAGATGTGGTGGGTAACATTGGACCGGATATAATCATGAGATAACCAGCATAGATTCAACAGACATGCTAGATATGAGAAAGCTGACGCAGGATCAGAGGGGTTTCAGCCTCAACGATAAACTAGAGCTTCTTTTGGTCAAGGGTATTAATTTACATGTGTAGACTTTCCCTACCTTAGGTAGTCAACAGTTATGTTACATCCTATCTCAGCCATCGACGCAACTATACCCTAACAATTTTGTTTCTCATCTATTGTATCAAAGAAGACAAGTAATAAGACTCGAGACAAAGGGGCTACGTAGAGAAAGTACCTAGGTACCCAGCCACCTTACGAATATAATCATATATTACGGATTACATGATATTGTCTTAACGAGTAATGCGGGGAACATGGAGATCCTTGCAATTAGATACCTAGGTACACTACTTCGAAATCGGCTCCACTAAATCTTTCAAACTAGACCCCTCCAATATTTTCTCTTCGTCCATTTATTACAAGTCTAAAGGATATCCATTTCACCTTCGAAGCATTATAAACCATTCAATCCAACAAAATGCCGTCCGTCAAGAACCCCAACGGGCCTTCTAAGAACCGTCTCGTCGCCCGCGCTGCCAAAGCCAGGAAGCAGAACCAAAAGCGCATCAGCACCGCCGCCCTCGACAAGAAAGGCCGAGTCGCCAAAGCAGATACAAAGCGCGGCGCACGCCCCGGATTACTGCCGACGAGCGGACCAAATGCTGCGCTCAGCTCGAAGAAGAGGCGCAAGCTCGAGCGGAAGATGAACCATGCCATGAAGCGCAAGATGGAGGCCGAGGGTGAGGTTGAGATGAAAGGTATGCTCCCTATTTTCAAGTCAGGGCAGGAAAAAGGAATAAGTCGCTAATTGAGAATTGGATATAGATGTACCTGCGGAAGAGGATAGCGGAATTTCCAAAGAGGAAATGGCTGTCGATACTGAGAACATCTCGTGAGCGCATGTTGGCGTTTCACGCCCGAGCTACGGCATAACACTCTAGACTAGGCCGATATTCGACCTGTTTCACGTTGCAGAGGTGTTTCCGCCCAGATCGAGAAATTGGGGGGCTGGCACTCTATGAGAAGTTTAAATTTCCGCCAGACATAAAGAGACGGGCTATTCATTACGCGTTCACTACACCGAACCTAGTATATGGTTCGACCTGTTAGTCAACTGGAGGAGAGAGATTTGGGGTCAGTATCAACACTCGGACGCTACTAAGTGGTTGCGTAACCACATAATGTCGTAGCACAGCAACTGGAAGCACGCTTCGGTCAGGTCATTGGGCCATACGTTAAAGAAATGGCGTCTTTGGTAGAATTGGTATGTGGGCACTGAAGGCGTCCAGCTATATCTATACTAGCTGGATGTTTGACCCGGTGCAACTACTACTATTAGTATATACCCATACCACGTAAAGTAGCAAGCTATATTTACGATTAGATTCCCGCGCTCGAAAGAAACCAAATTATATTAGTGGCAAGATAACAATAGTAACACCATCGGTGAATACAGAATGACTAAACGGAAAATTAATATCGCAATCTAAATCACTCTCTGGGGGCCGTAAGATTTTTTATTTCTTTGTATTATATGATACATTATAGACTTAATATAGTCTTCCACGTTGGTGTTATTGTAATGTCTTCTCTCAAGCCTTGGTGTAGATCGCGCTCGTCTATCTCGTGTATATGGTATCTTGCAAGCTATAAGACTTCTGAGAAATACGGTTCCATTAAACCAACATATTTGTTAACATGTCCTAAAAGGCTAATTTGTCGTCCCGTGATGTTTGTTGCGAGATGGACTATGTCTGTAATGACTTTGCATTTTGGAAAGCCTTGAAGACATGCTGTCCCACTACAAGTATAATCGCGAGTCCGATAGTGACTGACTAGAGGCTACAGCTCCTCATCACGGGGTATCTCTATGCCGTAATAAACATCTACCAACATTAGCAGAGGGTATATTTTAAAAGATGAAGCTAAGTAGCCACGTAGACCAGGGACGGTGAGCAGTATTAGGTGCCTTCATCTTATTCAGGCAATAGCTGGCATGGTTTCTATTCCGGTGGCCGTCGCAGTCGCAACGGCAACCCACACCACCGGGGATTTCCTCGGCCCATTTACTTTGGACCTCGTTAAGTGCTTTCGACTCGGGTAGTTGGCCACCGGGCGCGTTTGCAGGGCACTGATAATACCAATCATGTCGGTATCCAATATCGGCGAAATGGTGAACCTGATGCGGCTCCGCCAACATGTTCACGGCGAGTGAGTGGACAGCGGCATCACCCCACTATAAGAAACCAGATTAGCAAATTTAGACATAAAAATGAGAATGAATTGGTGTTGTGGCATTGCTGTCCGACGTGTACGAACCCTTTCGAAATAGAAGCCGCCGGTGTGCTCTAAGTGCTTATAAAGGTCCTGATACTTAGAGCCGCGAAAGAAGTCAAGGTCTGCGATCTCAAAGTTACTCCAGTAATGACAGAGATTCCATCCGTCACCAGAGCTATCGCGGTGTGAAAACCAGCTGAGTAGGCTGCGGAAAGGCCAGGGAGCCCAAGACGCATCAACACTCGCCTTCCAGAGGTTGGTGCTAGGGATACCCTTCAGTTCCTTCCAGTCCGATACTTCCCTAAAGAGACTGGGACACGTGCGCTTTTCCTCCCAGAGCGATATCGTGAAACCGTACACTTTGTTGTGGCGAGCCATTTCGACGAAGGGATCGTAGGTAATAGAGCATGAGAACTCGACATCGGGTTCCAATCGCCAGTACCATTTATATTTTTTTAAAGCCTCGACTTGATAGAAGTTCCTACAATGTCGACACCTCAGTAAAACCAGACATGCGAAGTATAGTCGGCTAGCCTACCCAGAGAAGAACCGACACATGTGATGATAAGTCTCTTTTCCCGCATATAAAATACCACGGTCGCCTTGATCCTTTATACTCGCGCGGGCGGCGTCCTGGTCCATCCACGACGGAAAAGTCCATTGTTCCTTAGGTACTATTTCGAAGAAGGTCGGGGCACTTGTAGAAGCATTAATAGTTTGTATGAATTCATCGTTCCAGGGCTCGTCGTTAAGAAATACGATCGGGTACCGGAACCAGCGGTTAAAGCGTTGCTCGATGCTGCGGACGGATCTCGCGGCTTTCTCGGCTTCCTGGTTGCGGGCCAGCATAACGATGGCGGCATTCTCGCGGGGCGAGTCTGGAGGGGTACTCGGAGGCTCCTGGCAGGAGGCATAGAAGGGAGTATCGAACTCGCGAGGCGGTACGGGCACGCGGTAGTGGGAGGCGTGGATGGTGATTTCGAGAATACATGCAACGCCGAGGACCCAAAGGAAAGGCGACTGTAGCCATCCTCCTCTCCTTCGTAGACGTGGTAACCGATTAAACAGCGACATTATAGAGAGATACTAGCTAAGCTTTACGGGCTAGCTTACGTGTGATGTAGTCGAAAGGATAATGTCACTATCTTTTGTTGGCATTCCCGAGGCCATTTGCATCAGCTTTGATTTGTTGGTTGGGATTATCGATTATCTCCCATGTGTTGATCTTTTTTTAGTTGTCATGGGTTTTATTTGTCAAAGTCCCTTTTTTTTTTTTTTTAGTAAGGAACGGTAGTGCATTTTAGCGTTTGTACGTTACACCTATACAGGTAGCAGACCCTTATTCTTGGGACTTGTGCAGGGGTCCAACAACGCATACATGTACATGTAGCTCTGCATATGCAGCTTCCATCCCGAGTCAGCATTTTTAATTGAGATAGGTTCTTGGTGTTTTTTGTAAAGGAATAAAGGTAGCAACTGCATGTAAAATTTATACTTATAAATATAATTACCTTTTATATGCACGTACTTATTATACGTAATGTAAAATTATTAATTAAACTTACTTTTATACATTAAGTATTTATAAACGCATTAAATATAACGGAAATAATATTATATATTAAATATTTATATTAACGTTAAAATATAAAACTTAAATATTATATATTTATAATAAATAAAAATTAAACCGTAAATTTCCCGTTTAAAACTTTAATATTATTTAAATGTTTAAATGTTTTAATATTTTAATCGATATTAATTTAAATAATATATATTTAATTAATTATTTAAACGGTTTATATATATATAAATGGTTTTTTTTTTATAAATGGTTTTTTTACGGTTTAAAAAAATATAATATTAATAAATAATTAAATAAAAAAATCGTAAATGTCATTTTATATATTTAAATAATTATAAGTTATACGCGTATATATATATATATATATATATAATAATTTATTTAAATAATAATTTTATAATTATAATTATAATCGTAATTATAAAATGTTTAAAAATAATAATATTTATTTATTTATTTATTTTAATAACTTAATTATTATACGTATTTATATTAAAGTAAATACGTATAATAATATATATAAATAAATTTTATTTATTTATTTATTTATTTATTTATTTATTTATTTATATTACATTTTTTTTAAATCGTATTAAAATTATTACATTTTTTTCGATTATATTAAAACCGTAAAAAAACCGTTGATTTTTAAAAAAACCGTTAATTAAAAAAAACCATTTAAAAAAAAAAAAACCATTTAATATATTAACCGTTTAATCGTAAAAATACCATTTAATATTAATACCGTTAATAAATGTAATTACCGTGCTTTTTTCGTATTAAATCGCGAAACCATTTATATATATAAATCATATATTTACGGTATTAATACAGTCCTAAGATCTTATATACTAACGCTAATGTAATACTAATAAGAGTACAATTAAGTCATAGTTTAAGTTTAAATCTTACGAAGCGCAAGGACTACCTAAACTATGTACACGTAACTAAGCGCCATGTATCTGAGTACATATATTACTCTTGTGCTAATACAGGTACTCGTATTTTCAACATTTCTATTTCTTAAATACTTCTTCATAGCATATAACTACACGAAAGATAGTATTTCTCGCATCTCGCATTTCTATGGAACAGATCAAGTTACGCTACAGCTAACGACGCAATAAATGGTATTATTACCGGACACGGCAGCCAGCGCTAGCTAGCCAATGTAACCGGTTGTCCGGCTCTGGGGGTCCATCTTCTCGGGTCTTACTTTAGGTAGTCTTCTCCAGGGCTCCTAATTTTATTCGCAAGGGGGAGAGATAACCGCCTCAAGCCTAGGTATTTACATATCCGCATATCTCCCACAACTCCTAGCATGTATCATCCTATGGTACTTCTACGCCGTCGCCGAGTTTACTACCTCTTCCCCATCGTCTTCGCCTTGGTGCTTCTTAGCCCTCCCTTCTGGCCATCCGTAAGACAATTCGGGGATCGCGTGCGCCAAACTTTGCCTTTCGCCTACCAATGGAAAGTCCAACAAGATTTCGTTCCTACGCAAAATGAGCTCGACTGCTTACATGGCCTTACCCCTCGATTGGCCACCGATAGCGATAAACAAATAGATCCCATACCCAACCATGTTCATTTCATATACGGGCTCAGTAACCCTTACGACAGGCCTAGCGCAGGTACATTCGACTTCCTCTGCTACCTCGCGATACGGAGTGCCATTGTGGGCATGAAAGCAGAGAAGATCTCGCTTCATTACACATATCTTGCGGATCCGCCATCGCCCGAACCAAATGCATCTCCTCTATCGAATCCATGGATACGTCTTTTAAAAGATGATATCGACCTCGTCTACCATTCACCCGAAGAGATGGCGGCCCTAAAGAGCTCGCCCGACGCGACCTGGCACGCCGCACATGTATCCGACATTCTCCGTTTAAAGCTCCTCCAAGAGCAGGGTGGTATTTACATGGATATGGACGCCTTCGGTTTCCGGCCCTTTACTACTCTCTTGAAGTCGCCACGCGATATCATACTAGGCCACGAGGGCGGAAATCGCGGGGGTCTATGTAATGCCATTATGGTCGCTCGGAAGAACAGCTCGTTTATAGCGAGATGGCTTCGAGAGTATAACGGTGCAGATCTTTCCAAGGAGTGGAATTACCACAGCGTTGTCCTTCCTAAAGAGTTGGAATTAGAACATCCGGACGAGGTCTGTACGTTGGCACCAAACGCTTTCTTCTGGCCAACTTGGACATGGGACCATATCGAATTCATGCATAAGCAGCTCAGCTCGGACGAAGCGCGTAAGTGGGCGGCGGAGATAGACAGGAATGGCGGCAGCCTTTATGAGGATCAGCTCGCCTACCACGCATGGAGTCAGATGGCCTGGGAAAGACATCTCAGCAAGTTAACCCCCGAGGTCGTGAGAACACGCGACACGAGATTTAACATCCTAGTTCGAGACTTTCTACAGGATAATCTAGCAGTCCACCAGAACTAACAGTAGTTCTATGTAGTTAGGTTGGATTATTATCATGTTACGGAATTGGCTAGCATAGCGTGTAGTATGACTAGTTGAGAGTCTTAATGTCAGTATATGGGTAAGCATCCCAAAGAGCTAAACGGTTGAATAGCAATCCTTTGGTATTGTATCATCCGCTGCTTTTCGATGCATACCTAAATGAATCTATAAGGTCTATTAGGTCCGATAAAGGGCGACGGATAAGATAATTCACGCTTTACAGCGTCCTACACAGCCATCGGACGGCACTGGCTCTACAGCTTTCAGCCAGCTGATTCCGAAGGCGTGTTCCACTTGGGGCTATATCCTTTAGTTAAGCAATTTAAGACATAGAATTGTGATAATGAAATATTCATTCCATTGAATTAGCATCTCGTTTAGTAAGGTACCTGCCTATATATCTTATATGCTAGAGTCGCGGGCTACCCCAGCTCATCCAAGTTCATAACATCTCTGACGTAGACAATAATATCAACTGTTGAGGTAAGTAGTCGTTTAACTACCTCATCTTTCAGATACAGTACTTAGTGTCTTCGATAAAAGGACCTCCCTCCTCACTTATACAATTGAGAGACTACGTCAACATACAACATACGGCTCGATCTTTGAGCATCAACATTGTCATCATTGTCGTTACATTGCAATTCATGGTAATCTTTTTGTAATGCGCATACTTAGGTACCTAAACACACATAAGCATATCATTTTCATTGTGAAACCCAACTAGCAAGTGAAAGGTGCAGAGGGAAACTTGCGTAAGTTAAAGATGAGTAATGCCAGGTTGACAATCTAATACCTATCCATAACTACATAGTCATTTTCCTACTAACTGAATCTTTTTCTTTAATACTCGCCGTTTTCGACATTAAGAATTCATTATTGTCATGTTACATTGTTGTAAACAGACAATTCTATTGTCAATTTCCTCAACTTCTCAATTATGTTTCCTACATAAAATCGCCCGTACAGCTAGTGGGAGCTCCAAGAATCCCCACTACATCCTCATTGATTCATTTCGAGGTTTTCTTCCAGCGCGTCGTCAATTATATGCCAACATGGAGCCAGATCTCGATTGTCCGACAACCCCAAAAACGCCAATGCCAGAGGGATACCAATTTGTTCCAAAAGGAAATTCTTATGTAACCCAGCATTGCCGGACGCAAGCACACGCTGAGGGCAAGCCTGTTTATATCGTCTATGGAAAGGAGGGAAGGCTCGGCATTAGAGTGCCAACTAGTATCTACATCAAAGTCTTACAGGAATACGACCGTACAAAGGCTAACCGAGCTCGAAAATCCCGTTTAGTCGATGCTAGACTAGAGGAAGCACTCGGCAAATCTGTTAAAAATCAATTCTATCAGATACCTCCCAAAGACCTAAGAGAAATCGTCCAGCGAACCACGAAAAGAAAAAGTGGGAGAATTGGGAGAAGTAAGAAGTTAGATATTGCTGTAAGAGCTCGCCTAGCTACATATGCCCATATTCGACATCGTCATACAGGATATGAAAAGCTCTTGAAAAAAGGCGTCTCAAGAGACGTCGCACGATATCTAGTCGACCGGAAGATTAACGAAATTGTTCGTAAGTGGGGAGGCACAAAAGAAAGACTTCCGTCGCCTAACGAGCACCCAGAATCAAATTGTGCGGTCATCGATCGAGTATTGCAAACAGACTCTGCAGAATCCACTTAGGGTAAGAATTATCAAGTATAAGAAACATTCTAAGCCATGAACAGGTTCCGCATACTAAGGTAAGGTATTCCCAGTTAACTGGGTCAACTTCATAACTCCTCCACCTTACGCCAAGGACGATGTTTCGACCTTGAGGTTCCTTGCCAAAACTGTACCATAGTAATTGTTAAGTTAGTTTAGTAAGTTAGTGTATTCATTCATGCATTTACTGATAAAGTCTAATGATTTGACGTTTTAGTCAAGTTTATAATATAAATGTGAAGTATGTAGGTCTTCTTGTCAGAACCCATTAATTTGACAGCTTCTTAGTCCTGTTTTATGTGTCACGCTAGGCATTCTCAATTGTTTGACTGGATCAACTAAAAGAGTCTATATTTTCCTGCCAGAAATTCACAAGTCTTTCACCTTCCAAACACCGCAGCAACAATATCCATGTTTTTAAGAAAGGCTTAATGCGGATCGCGTCCAGAATCCAATACATGTAAACCTCTTGTGGTCTGTTACATTTGGTTCTATTTTTCATTGGGTTGGGAGTTATCCCTAGCGACGTGATGAGCCCTGGGTATTTGACGTTTTGACTACACGGTAACTACGCAGATCTTCAAAAATAAATTTCAAGTCTTTTTATCCAGCTAACTAGTTCTTTACTTTTACACAACAGGCCAACCGCTAGAAAAGTTGATTGTGTTCCATCCAAACTGCTTCTGACCATCCGCATAGCCAATATCCGTATCAACGTAGTGGTAATAAAGGATCTGTAGTGCGATATATCGTTAGTCATACCTGCCAAACAATCGTGGGGGACATGATACTTACTGGTCCATGCACAGGGTCGTCGTAAACTCCTTGTCCTCCAGGTCCATATACGTTTCCATGGGACTCGAGGACCACGGTACCACCACTGTTAGTGCAGGACTTTCCACTCTTATCCACGAACCCACCAGTTGCAGAAGTAGACCGGCAGACTAGAATTTTATATTCGCCACCGGCAGCTGGCCGGCTTGTATCATAACCACAGCATTGTCCCTTGCTAAAGAAGAGATAATAGTAGTTTCCGTATTTAAATATGAAGGCGCCCTCTTCGTCTGTCTTGACAGGGTCAAAAGCAACTTGAGCTGCACTGGCACCGCTCGCCACAGCCTTGGGCGGATTCTTCATGGCTACTTGGTAAATATCTTTCCAGAAACTACCAAAAGTGATAAAGTAAGCTCCGTTAACATTGATGAGGTTAGGGTCAATTGCGTTATACGGCTTCTCAGATGACGAGCGGATCCCTGTTGATCCCAGATCTTTCCATGTGCCCACGTCCATGCTAGACGAAGTGGCAACACCAATAGCGGAGTCTTGGACGCCAAATTCGCTGACTGAATAGTATAAGTAATAAGTGCTGCCAACTAAGGCGACCTCAGGAGCCTATTTTAAGGGTAACATTTAGTTAGTATTTTTTAAATGAAATTAAACAAGACATTTAACTATTTACTGGCTTACCCATAGGTCCTGGTTCCCTCCGAGGTCAATTGACGACCCCGACGGGAGTGCTGCACCCTTATACGTCCATGGTCCTGTAATATCTGGCGCGGTATGAACCGCTATCTTGCCTCCGGTAGAGAAGCGAAAGTATGTGCCATCAGATCGTCGAATGATAGACGGATCGTGCGTATTAACGCAGGTACCCGAGCATGCTCCGGGATTAGCATATCCAGACACAGTACTTAAAAAGAGCACAAGCGCCCATATAGTATTGTACAGCATCATGGTCGCTTTGAGCCGCATATAATATCGAACTCCGAAAAGAGAAGTTCTTAGGTTAATCAGATTTCCAGTTCATTAGAGGTTTATTACCATTAATAAAGGTAGGTTTAGAGGCAACCTTGTCTCGTATTGTCGTTTATTAAGGAGTCCTACAATGCCGTTAGTAGCATCTTATTGGAGGAATCACTACGCAGATTTATCCGTGAAGGGTTAGCGGTGGGAGTGTGGAGTATACTTATGCCAAATGTGACACGCGCCGTGATTACAGTTGAAAGTTATAAGCGCACCGATGATATAAGGTAGTATGGTATCAGCACGATGTTCAAATTGGAAGGTTGGCAGCACATACTTCTCTTTTTTACCTTATTGGTCTTGATACTTTATATTCCGTCAACGATTTACCTAATATCTAACTACCTACCTGCTTGAGTCCCGATAAAGTAACCCCAAGTTGTATAGCTTCTCGTCTGTTTAAACGCCAAGATAACAAATGGTGCATCGTATTCATTTTCATACCTCACGATTAATTGTAACTAGCTGCTGCCTTATATATCTACAAGAATGGCCATAACCTGATATATGTATCTTCTATTTCGTTAGGTAAGGTAGGTATGTCTTCTTTAGTGAAATAGTTTTCTAATTCTCGTGTCAACAACAACCATAATGAAGTAGCTACTCAGACATTGCAGGATATTTCACACTTGCATGTGAGCAGTTGTCATGGAACTATGGTTGCGTGGTTATACCGGTCGATGCTAAGTCTCTCTTGGACCTCCGTGGCGGCACCAGAAAAGTCAACACCCAGGTCTCTCACTTCACCACAAATGACTAGTAGTAAGCGACTAATACCTCGGGAAATAGGTCTTGTTCGTCAAAACGGTTGCCAGACTAAGCAAGTAATAGATGAGCTGATTTATTTAACTCGCTTCTTGGGCATTCTCAAATACTACAAACTACAATATCAGGCAAGATCGATCAAGTTAATGGCTTCGTGTTCACCTGTGGTATATATTTTTAGCGGTTGTTCCTTTTTACTGTGGCAAAGACGGCTTCTCATGGTATAGCATCAGGTTGTTGTTGTTGTTATATATTTAACGCCGGGAGCACGAAGTGCCAGGCCTCCCTTGGGGCATGCGGCGTGTGGAGCTATCTGGGTCTATATACACGGTATGTCCCTAATATCCCACATTTCAAACCCGAGGGCATACTATATTCAGACCGTTTCCGTTCGCCCCGCCTTTTGGGCTCGTGCTCGGCATTATGGGTGTTCGTAGTTGATCCCTTTACGGGGGAGCAAGCCAGGATCCAAATACAATTACAAATACGAAAGGAGATAAGTTTTGCTGTAGGAAGCAGCTGTTCTAGTTTCAGTTTCCCGAGGTGCTTTCGTGCGGTATAGCATCAGGTCATCCTCCCAGTAGATGGATAAGGTAACGAAAATTCGAAAATGCAATGAATACATTAATGCTCGAGCCTTGCGACGATTCGCTATCGGGAGTATATTATCACGGGTCAAGATCTTATTCCTAAAAAGACTAGTTCTAAAGCTTCTCTCAACCCAGACGAAGACAGTGAATATAATGTAAGGTCTGACTGTTTTCAGTGTATCACCCTTTTCCTTCAATGCACCTAGAGGACGGTAACTCTAATAAGTATACCATCGTGTGAGTAGATAACACTAAGCTATGGTTGGGTGGCTACCCTAAGACGAGTTATTTGACATCGATGCCTAGAGGAGCACAGACACACCGCTAGGTACCTCCAACATTTAGGTTACATAGTAGTATCTAAATAGTTAGTGAGCTAGAGGAATACGTGTTCATACGTTTTATGGTAATTACAGAATAAGAAACATTCGATGCTAGAGACAGAAAAGGCCAAATTGCGTCAGACTACAGGAGGAAGCCGACAAGGTCAGACGAATTCTCATATAGGTGGTCCAATTGCACGAGGAAAAAAAATGAAAATAAAGTACCAGCCGGATTTTATTTACCGGATTTTATTTAAAGATCTTGATCTATTTCTCGGGGGGCTCATTTGCTACGCCACGGGGGAACGAATGATATTTTATAAAGGTGGTGAAACATTAGTATATTAAGTCATGATTCCGCTGAAATTCTAGAGTTGGTTCTTTGTCCTGTCATTAAGGAAACGTTCCACGTGGGACGACAGCAGCTTTTATTCCCTGCTTTGCTTCGGCTTACTACTTGGACAGGGGGTTCCACGCTCTAAATAGGATCGATTTAGGGCTGCAGGATTCTTGAGTCCTTCCCTATTAGGTGAGGCACGATACAATAAATATTAACTGAAGGAGCGAATCTCTAAAACCTAATTAATTTGCATATCGTGAAACAAAAATTCAGAAGCGGCACAGGAAGCGATCTATTATGGGAAGGAGAATGAACTGCCTTATTTATTCGCGATGCCGATCTTTTCTATAGTTTACGCCTCGACTTCACGATTCCGGGACTCACTGCATCTTTAGCTAATCGATTATGAATCACGAGAATTCAATCCTCGATATTTCCTTAATATCTAAATCCAAGTCTACATTTCAATCCCGACGAGCATGTTGAAGTGGCGGGTAACCTTGCTTATGGCGTCGTTTGGACGATGGGGTGTTACGGGACAATCGGCGATATCTACTACCACAATAGACCGCCCTTCGCCTATTACAGCTCGAGCTTCAGCTATTACAAAAGACCCCTTCGTAGGCTTCGTAGTTGTGTCAGCTACAAGTAAGTTAATCCTTTATAGCCTCTTCGAAGAACGTAGCCTGAGTGTGAATAATTGACACAAGCCAATAGCCAAACCGATATATTGCCCCGATGGCGACGTATTCACCACATCGGCCAAATTTGCAGCTTGCTGCGCTTCGACGGCATCATCTTGTGCTATTGCCACCGGCTGTGAAGACAATGCGATGGCATATTCGAAAGGCACAACATCTAACTGGTAGGAAGACTCCGTGTCTCATCATACTTGGTAGATCTGAGCTCAACTAACGGCTCTAAAGCGGCCCAATGCGATGCCAAACACGACAAATATTTTCGACATATGGAATAGGGGATCCGGTTCTTATGCCCCTCTGTGCTAGCTCCGGCGAAATAGAATTATTATATCGGACCGTACCGACGACTTCAAGTTTAGCCCTGCCTCTTACAGCTGTTGACACCACCGGCGCACTATCAACACGCCCGCCAATGATGGTCACAATTATGGGCGCTAATGGCTACCCAGAGCCAGGAGCAGCTGCCGTACAAGCCAATCAAGGTACTCAGGCGACAACTGACTCTCTATCACCTAACTTAGTTGGTATAATTGTCGGCTCTACGTTTGGGTCTGCGGCGATTGTGGCATTAGCGGTGGTTGCATTCTTGTATAGGCGAAGGCAAGACAGAGAAAAGCGAGCGGCCCAAAATCACGGGCGAAATTGGAAGATACGGCCGGAGACACCGGACTCATGGGATGGGGAATCTAGTGTCTCTGTAGCGGGTTCAAGACGGAGATACTCAGACCCTTACAGGAGTAGACCGATCGAATTATCGCCTATGCCCAGGACACGGCGATGACACTTTACAAATCCATCTTTCACAACAACTTAAAATACCCTTTGCGACCTGCATTTATTATGTAATGAAGTATGATATTCGTGTAATATAAAGCATACCTCGGAGTTTGGGAGGTTATTAGGTTAGGTAGCATTTAGGCACCGGATAGCCAAAAAGAAATCAGGATTCCTTGTTTACCCAAGCCTCTCCACGATACAGCAGTGATAGTTTATGATTGGCAATATCACGTGGTCTATTTGGAGTACATACCAAAAATGGAGGACGACATCATTTCCATACCTTTTATCAAATGCCCTCTTACCGGATGAAACATGTGCCCTTAACTGAATAACCAGTTGAACCACTTGGCAACAGAGTTCCTATGACTGTTAAGCAAGATATCTAATATGGCATAGGAAGGTGAACTCACTTGGGAGGTGCCGGGACGAACTGGTTAGTATAGTCTTCGACCGCAGCTACGTCTTTGAGCAAGTCCACTTCGTATGGCCTATGATACCGGGTTTTATGAACCAGCTTCCAGCCAATGAAGAGTACCGGACATACCGCAACCATAACGTAGCTAGCTTAACTGTTAGCCATGATCTAATGGGCATCTAGAACACATCACTTACGCGAATAGGAAATTCGGAACATCCCATTTGCCTGGTAGGAAAACCGTGTAGCCTCCTATAAAGGTCATGACGAAGGTCGCGAACAAGGCGTAATAAGCTGCATAAGGTTGCAAGAACCCCTTATAAGGTAAGGAATCGCGACTGATGCCTTGCGCCTCCAAAGCTCGGTGGAAGCAGATGTAAGTAACACACATCACACTGAAATTGATGAGTTGGGATGCAGTTACCAGGCTAACAAACCAGTTAAGCACCACTGCGGCATTCTCGCTTACTTGGAGGAAGGCCAGTAACGCGATCAATAATACTAACGTCACGCAGTAGATGGGGACGCCTGTTTTTGTGCACTTGGTGAAGAACTTGGGCGCCTTGCCCTCGAGGGCGAGCCCGTAAAGGGACCTCGACGCGCAATATACATAACTATTGCCGGCGGAGAAGGCGGCGGTCAATACCATGGCGTTGACTATGTGCGGAAGGATTGGGATATTTAATCGATTCATCGCAACGACATACGGTGAAGCTGCCGCCCCAGGCGCGGAATTGGCGAATGCCCGGGTCAACTCGGCGTCGTCGTACGGAACTAGGATCCCTACACATAGAGACCCGAGCATGAAGAACGTGGTCAACCGATAGAACACGGCATTGAAGGCTTTGGGCATTACCACGCGAGGGTTTTGGGCCTCGCCAGCGGCCATAGAAACGTAATCCGGACCAGCAATAGTAAAAGCTGCCCGGATCAAGCATTGCATGAAGCCCTGAAAACGGCCGAGGGAGCCAGTCGTGTAATATTCAGCGAACGATCCAGGTTCGTACCAATATCGAAAGCCGAATCGATCGTGCAGCGGATTCCCACCCACCATAACAACGAACGTAAATACGATTAATCCAACGATAAGTAACACTTTACCGAGGGCGGCCCAGAATTCCGTTTCACCGTACCATTCAACAGCCAGGAGGTTGATTAGCGCATAAAGCACGAGGACGATTGCAATGATGGCTCCTGCTGGCACAATATCACTCCAGAAGTGAATGACAACATTGCATGCTGTCACTTCGAATGGCACAAGCATAGCCTCGAAGACGAAGAAATTCCAGCCGGCAGCAAAACCAAAAGCTTCGTCGACATAACGACCGGCGAAACGGATGAATGGCGAGGAGATCGGTAGATATGACACCATCTCTGCCATACACATGGTCACAGCGAGAATGACAGTACACCAGAGTGAGAAGGCAATAAACAGACTTCCCGGGCCGCCGTCGAGCAGGGCGGCACCGATCTGAACATAGAGGGCCGTGCCAATTGTACCGCCGATACCGATCAGCTGGATATGGCGAGCCTTAAGTTTGCGATGCGTGCCGTCCGTCTCACCAACCATCGCGAGAGATTCGATCCGGCTGTCTTGGCGACCGAGGGCAATCTTCTCCGTATCGGAGAGACCATTTCCAACAGCATACCCAGAGGCTGAGGCGGTTGGGTATTCGACACCCGAAGATGCCATGGTGAGGAGTTACTCCTCTATCTGGTGAAAGTACGAATACTTCAGCGAGCAAAGAACCAGATGCTAGAGACGGTACTGGGGCGGCCGAAAATTCCTTTGAGAAGAAGAGAAAAGAACTCTTGCACGAAGTCCATAGGCGGCGGCTTGTTAAAAAGCGGTCTTCTCGCGATAGCAAGGCAATTCCTAGCCGGGCTATATGATTAAGATCTAATCAGCCAGTCACAAAAATGGCGATGCAAGAAAACACCAAAAAGCCGGAATGACCAGGAAGGATTCTCACAGTATTACCTACGCGGCCTTTTAACAGGTAGTTACGGTGAGAAAAGATACCTATCATGCGCCAAGCCGAATCCGGCGCCTTGGTTCTCGGCTCGACCTAGGAGGACTATGGTGACGCAGGGCGTAACAGGGATCCAACTTGGGAATGTGACTGGACCGTTACTAGTGATCAGCGATCGGCTAAGGGTAAGGATATCGACATGATATGCATGCGAGAAATCAGTGACTTGAGCGGAGCGGGAGCTAACCCCGGGCGCACCAGGTACCCGATAAGGCTCGTTGCGATTCACCGACGGCGATGCAAGCGGTCGACGGGAGACAGAGAATCTGACATCAGCCCTTTCTATCGACCACCAGTAAGACGAAGTTCCGGCTTTGCTAACAGCCAATGCGTGGGGGATTAGTATTATTATTATATCCTTAATTTCTAGAAAGGAGACCCTTGATCCCAGAAACTTGTGACTGCATGCCAATGTTTTGACCAGTCCTACTATCGAAACCTAGCGAATAAAATAGCGAGCCAAGGTTCTTGATTAGAATATGGCTTATCCCGCTGCCGCTTGCGAAACGGCGGCGTTTTTCGGTGAAAGCTACATACGCCACCGCTGTTATACACTGAGGCTCGGTCAACCCATAAAACCTAGCTCTACGCCATCATTCTCATACGTATGTGTTTTATATGTTTTGTGTTTCCATTTCGTGTTTTCATGTCTCATATCTACCTACCTAGGGATATCTTTTTCCATACAGTATGCGCATTGATACCGAAGCACTGACCGAGAACTTAAAAAAGACGCAGAGTTGATGCAGTTGGTTTGGAATTTCTAACCGAGGTACCCCGAAACGAAACGTTCCCGGTCCAACAGCATCCAACTTTTCACATGATTTGGGTTGTGGGCAAGCTAAGTCGCTGGTAAAAACGATCGAATTGCACTAACGTAGAGAGTTCTAATTGCAACCTCATCAAGATGGCAAGTTGACGAAATAGTCGCCTAAACCCCATTCTAGGCGCTTTAGGCGTGGGGAATCCTGGTTCTAGTCTCTCTTGTCTTCCGTAGGCGGTTAGTTTGTGGATAGCTCACTAAAACGACTTCTCAAGAACTATGTAATGTAAGGAAGGCTTTATCCTAAGCCGGGGTTACCCAGGTAGAGATCTCTTACTAGAAATTTACGCTTGCCGCCGCTATCGCGAGTTTGCCCCAGTGTATGAAGCAAACTCGGGATAGAGGTAGGATTTCAATCTTTCAACTCGTCCGAGAGAAAAACCGATTCTCGCCTACCACTCAGAGTTTTGAAAATAGCCGTGGAAACTGCTGTCGCGAAGTCCTCGGAGTGGAATAATATACCTAGCTCTTGGCTTGTGAACCAACTTGCGCGATCCATCTGCAAATTGCTTTGTTAGTGTATTTCTATGATAGATTACGCAAAACACAAAATGGTGCGATCTCATCGTTTTCTGAGGCCAAGAAATTCGGATTCTGGGATTCGCTTACGTTTCCAGACCCAAGTATAACATATTGATAGTCTATTATGGTTAGTTTGAGATGCGATTGTACTGGTTCTTCGGCTGTTTCGTCGGTCTCGTTTTTAGGGGCTGGACGATAATAATAGACATTCAAGAGTCCCAATTGAGGTTGCTGTGCTTCAATGTCAACACCCAGGTCTGAATTCGCGCGGCTCTCGTTGCTCATCGATTTAGGACGCTGCGCTTTTAGTATCTTATATCTCTTAATTAGTGAATTAAGACAGCGAGATGTCGTAGTCCCGGCTGTAACGATTTGCTCTAAAAGCATAAGTCTCTCGTTACTTACGATAGTAACATTGACTCCCCGCTTTAGAGCCTCCAGAAGTTTATTAATTACGATCGCAGATGTGAGGTTTGGGGTTTGAATATAGATGATATGTTCCGACATGTCTAAGAGTTGTAGCACGGCCGTATTAAGAGGTGTCGGCGGCGGCGGGGGATGGTCGTGCCATGGAATTAAGTCAAACTTAGGATTGCGGTGATGAGATGACGGTAGAAGTATCGCTGGGATCTCGATGTCCGATATAAAGTCTTCGAGGGTACCAACATGATTTCGGGATGCTGAAGTTAAGCTGGGCTCAAGTAGTATTGAAAGCCGAGAACGATCATAATCTAAACCGCGTCCGCCCATGAGATGATTCTCAAGTTGCCTATCCCAGACATGTCGGTAAAACTCTACCATGGTGGTCACAACGTCGCCGCTGACTTCGACACATCCTTCCAGCCACGCCTCCCAACTCACATTGCAGCTCGGAAACCAGGCTCTCTCCCGGTCGATAATAAGGAATTTGGGATGCATCACGCTAAAAGGTAAGAAGAACAAACTTTTAACGCGCAAATCGATGAGTCCAGCCTCTAAAACTTCCGGGCTCGGTAACCCTAACCGCGTCGTCCATGTTGAGGGCGGGTACACATACCCATCCGTAGAGAATGGGTGGAATAATTTTTGAAAAAGGGATCTAGACGAGAAACATATTCGTATTTTCAACGGAGAGAACACATTTACTTCTGGGCTAGTTGAACGAACGCTACGGATGCGCTCGCGGCGATATTCAGCGAGTTTTTCCAGCGTTTCCCTCAAGGCGTCCAGAGTGGGTCCTTGCGCCCAGAAACAAGTAACAAGAATAACTTCATGTTTAGCCGTAGCTATTGCAGGAAGCAGCGATTTCAAGAATATAGATGCGCCAGTACCTATGGACTTCAGTTAGCCACACTTGTCAAAAGAAAGTTAATAAGAATTAACGAACCAAGACGAAAAGACTTTACTGTTGTAGTACTTGTTAGACACTCTGGGTTAGAGAGGTAATAATCTGGAAATTCATTGTGTAAAGTTGAGGCATGTTCTACGAGGGAGTGTTTCCATGCTTCTTTAAATCCAGGAAAAGAGTCAAATCTAATATTTCTTCGTTCCGTACGATCCGAGGTATGCTCAGTTTCTATAGGGTCCATAATACGAATGCGAATGAGAAGTCGAGCTTTGAAACATAATAATCAAACGATTGAATCTATTAGTGATGACAAGTTGTAAGAAAACGGGTAACTATCCGAGGCTTCAATCCTTGTTTGTCCGTTCAAGGTGCCGGATCAACTTTTATCCCAAATGAAACATGTCCAAGTGGTGGCTGAGAGTGAGGATAGTTACATGGATGTCGCCCTCACTTCGCTCTTATTCTTCTTTAGTTGCTCTCGTTTATTAGGTACTTTGTATACCAAAATATATAATATTAACAGGCTTTAAAGATTTATCCCAATATTCGACTCGATTGGACAATATTCGACTCGATTGGAAATAGAGGGAAATGAGCATTTTTAACCATACGCTAAATATTTCTCGCTTCGCTAAATTATCCGTCTCAAAACTTCTTACAAAATGGTATCTTGCATTTATGTACACGCGAATCCCCATGCAATACCATATCCACGCTATAGAAGCTCGGACTTCTCCGCGGGGCTGATCGACACTGGGTAGTAGAATAGTTCCTTGGGGTCGAGTTCTGCCTTGAGTTGCTGTAACTTGGCCAGATTCTTACCCCAATACATCTCCTGTGCTCTTGTGCGGTTTAGATTTGTGTCTGGGTAGTTGAAATACATTCCCCAGTCGTCCGCGGTTAGGGGAGCCGTCGTAGTCTCCGCCCAATCGTTAACGAATTTGAAGGCCTTGTCCGGAGCGCCGCTTGTCGTCATGTAGAACTGGAGGATGTATAGCTTGTCACGGTGTGCGTACGACGTCAAATCCGGGTCAGCTTTCCACACCGCCGAATTCTTGCCTCCTTGGAGGTCCAGCTGGATGTACCACCGAGTTGTCTCATTCTTAGCGACATCCAACCAATAATCAGCAAAGTTCTTTGCCGCAGTTCCGCTCAACCCTTTCAGTTCCAAGCTCTTGCTGTAGAAGTTCTCTTGCTACAGCGAGGTCAATTCCTTATCAACGTTATTAGGTCAGGTTACTTACCACTTGCGTGTAAGGGTACGTCTGGTTAAGTTTCATAGTAGCGAAGTGTTCGAGGCCCTTGATCCAAGTGGTCGTCTGGGCTTGCGCTATGGACGCCCCGGTCTTGTTTAGTAATGGTGCCAACGCAACCTCGAGGTCTGTCTTGTTTCCTTGATAGATACCCTCCAGCTGAGTGAATTGGCGCGTGGCGAAAAGGCGCATGTTCAGCTCGGCCGGCATAGTATTCAGGGCGTAGTCTTCTATCGCCTCCAGAGCAGCAACGGATGTGTTCTTTTTCAATGGCATATTAACCACGAACCATGTGACATTAGCCGGAGGCTCAAAGGTCTTTAGCTCATAACTTGTGACAACTCCGAAATTTGAGCCTGCGCCTAGCAGACCCCAATAAATGTCCTTATTTTCTGTTGCTGAGGTGTGGACAAGCGATCCGTTTGCCAATGCAACATTCATTCCAACCACCCAGTCCAATGCGAGACCGCGCGAGTGGGAGCTCATGCCGAACCCACCATGGAGGATATGGCCGGAGATTCCAACACTAAGTCGTTAGCGATGGCTATCATTTATGGCTATGCTATGCTTGAACACTTACCCTGGACATGTTCCGTGGGATATAGCGCGGTTTCCTTGAGCGTATAGCTCTGATGCTAGGTGACCCAGTCTCGTACCCGAGTCCACAGTCGCGATGTTGGTCTCTGTGTCAAGCTTAACAGAGCTCATGCGATCTAGCTCGATGATAAGGTGGCCGTCCTCTCCGCCAAGACCTAGAGATGCATAACTATGCCCTCCACATTTCGCGGTGACTTTATACCCCAGTTTTGAGCCGCACGCTATGGCGGATTGGATCTGCTCTACTGTGCTCGGTACGGCAATGGCTGCAGGTGTAAATTCTAACCGCTTATTAAAAGGCGTAATGTCGCGGTTGTAGTCGTCAGAACCGATCGCATCTACGACTGTCTCACTACTCGAGAGACAGTCCTCTAGAGCAGCACGCCTGGTGAGGACAGCTCCCTGAGCGAGGCTGGCCACGAGCCCAATGCAGAAAGCCGCTGTCGAATGCATCTCGTCGGGAGCTCTGTGAAGGTGATGTTTATTGTTGAGATGCTACCGATACGACCAAGGAGTCCTATGGCGTCCTAAATCTCTGATCTTTCAGAGATTGATATACCCTCGATTCGGCCAGTTCCGTCTGTAGAAGTCCAGCAATGCTCGAACGACGTGTCGAACGACTCTATGACTTTATCACAGATCGCTATCCATACTTAACTTATAGCGGACGCATTGTCGACGACGATATAGGGCTAAATGGTCCGAAACTTAATATCGAACATCCCTGGCCGTTCATCCTCGGGAGTTGGGAGGCTCTCCAGGTGGATGCCCCCGGGGATTGACCGACTAAGTGTCAACCCTTTCTGATAGAGGAGCCGAGACGTAGGAATCTTGACCCGAACGAAGCGTGCTGTATCCACGCCAGTGGGTTCGTGGCGATCTTCTCGGTTTGCCAATCTAGTTTTCTAGTAGCACGCTATCTTATACAGCCTATATGAAACCTAGGTCATTAACATAACAGCTAATCATGTACAACAACCAAAGCGCGCGTCTATATTAAAAGCACCTCCACACTCTGGGGTACAGATCAAACAACCGCTTAATATTGACAAAAACCACCTGATATATACGTCTTCTAGTCCCTTAATACTTCAAGACTAAAGACCCTTTGATAACCCCCAAAAACCTGCATCAGTACTTGTGGGTGCCGAGCGTCTAAGCTCGGCAAGTCGAGTTAAGAGGTTTACATCTACGATACGCTTAGATTGAAGTTTTAAGACCCCGAGCCCCAGCAGATGATCCTACGGAGCATCATGCGCCATATTGGCAAGTTCCCCGATGGCAGGCGGGCGGCCTAGACGGCGTCAAATGCCGACTCTCTAACTAGGAGGTAGACGCAATGTCGTCAAGACCCATCTCGCGATGGGACTATGCATAACCCAATGTGCGGCATATCAAGGGTTCGTTCTCTAGAGAATTTACCTAGTCACGCGTCTACCACCTCCAAGTTGGGGTGCATAATCTTTCGCCAAGAGGGTACAGTTCCTAAGCGCCAGCCGCGTATTGCGCGCCCGTAATCGAGAATGGAAAGGCTGTAATTAGACGCCGTAATTACCATGTGCTGTCTGTCCATCAGGACACAGGACCGTGCCTCCGGGATCGTCGCGGGGAGTGTGGGGTGTTCTCTGGGGCATCGTCACATCAAGCAAAGTACGCAATATCATGTAGCCAACGAGACGGCTTTATCAGGATCTTTAATTAAGCTAGGGTTGACTATTCAGACGACGTACCGGACCAATTAGCCTCAAACCCCCCTGCCCAGAGTAATTCCTCCCGTCCGGAACGTTGCACAATCGGGATCATGTTCCGAGTCGTTGCCATTTGCGCTCGCGGAACGAACTCGTCGGCCTGGTTTGCCTAGTAGCAATCTGTTCGCGACAACTTGCCCTAGACTGGCAAATTACGACACTACTTTTGAGGCTGTAAACTAGGAACGGCGGCCTTTGGATGTACCCCTTAGGTTCTAGCGTTCTCGCCTCGCGATACGACTTCCGTCACCTCAAAGGCGAACAACATTCGCTTCATCTTCAAAAACTAATAATTTTAACCTCTGGTCCGCTTCTTTCACTTTCGTTGAAATTTCTCTAGCTTGGCGCCCTCCTCTCGCTACATTGTAAGACATAATTCACCATGGCATTCCTCAAGGCGTTAGTTCTAGGAACATTGGGCTTAGCACCAGAAGTGCTGGGAGCTAACCTACTCGCATCGCACTATACTGGCAAGATCTTCTCGCTCGAGTTCACTGGAAGTGGCGGCAATGGTACCTTAGTCAATAAGTCATCCGTGTCAGGATGTGGAACATTGCCTGCTTGGCTACACGTGGGCTCGGGAATAGTATATTGCGTCGATGAGGACTGGAATGGAAGTGGTATACTTGCCTCTTACTCTGTAGAGTCAGACGGTAGCTTGAAGCAGACTGGACAAACCGTAACCTCAGGCGCCAGCGTCCATGGCACGCCATATGGTGGTAAGGATGGCAACGGCTTCATTGCCACAGTCGAATAGTGAGAGACCATCCGTGTCCCCTCGTTATGATTAGGGATTAACAGTTGTCTTAGTGACCCATCAACGTTGACGAGGTACAAGCTCCCCCTCTCTGAGGTTTCAACCGTCCTGGCGCAGTCGAAGTTTAACATGTCCGAGCCTGGACCCAACTCGCGACAGAATGCTCCCCACCCACACGCTGCCCAGCTTGACCCAACCGGAAAATACCTTATCGTGCCGGACTTGGGCGCGGACTTAATCCGCATCTTTAGCATTGACGCTGAGACGGGTGACCTTACAGCGTGCGAGCCGGGCGTCGCCGGCGCAGGCGATGGGCCACGCCACGGCGCCTGGTGGGCGCCTACCGCCGGTTCCACGGACGGTCAGAGGCTATACACGGTGAATGAGCTGGGTAACTCGGTATCTGCCTGGACTGTGTCCTACCCTGACGGGGGGTGTCTATCTCTAGAGAAGACCCAAACGCTGGCCACGTACGCCGAAGGTAGCGCCGCCCCTAACGGTTCCAAGGCTGCCGAAGTCCAGGTCTCGGGTAACTTTCTCTACGCAGCCAACCGAGCCGACGAGACGTTCGGTCCCCAAAACGACTCCCTAGTTACATACAGCATTGACCCTAGCTCTGGGGACATCAAGTTCGTCGAGGCTACCCCCGCGCACGCCTGGTTCCCTCGCACATTCTCGATCAACAAGGCCGGTAACTTCGTCGCCGTCGGTGGACAGACGAGCAGCAACGTAGCTATCATCTCACGTAACCCCGAGACAGGCAAGCTAGGTGACCTCGTAGCCACCTTACCGATTGCGACACCTGGCACTCCCCAGCAAGAAGATGGACTGAGCGTTGTCGTGTGGGTTGAATAGATCGATAACAAAAGGGGAAAGGGACTCCGAATGCTTAGATAAAATGATGTTTTAGGCTCAAGGGCTACTCGGTAGTTTAACTCTAAGCATATAAGACTTCATCAGCATCGTGTTTCCCCGTATTGTATAGTTGTAGATACAGAAAAGGATCGTATATATTTGTGTCATCAATAAGCCTCCCTCTCGCATAGTTTTTGGTGTGGGTATTTGTTTTCGTTTCTATCTCGTTATACATCTGATCCTAACCATACTCTCCAGTATCATCTAATCATTGCTCAAGGACTACGTAGATACGGTAGTAGACCGTAACATAGCGTGAGACACTTGTGCCTAAAATCTTCAGAGTTCAGAGTAAGGATATAGAAATATATAGCAGCCAGAACATATTCAGTATTCATTGTTATCTTAGGCTCGTTGATTATATTAGCAGTACAAGTACCCATTTCCCGCCGTTTCAGTATCGCAACGTTATAGTCGAAGTTCACCACTTAACATCTGTCCGGTATTGAGTTACATTGAACCCGCCTTTTCATATAAGCCTCAACGAAAGGCCTAAAGACAGAGGGTTTAATCTTCAACGCAATATAATTTCCTCAGAAAGATACGAACAATGACACAACCTTTTGGGTGAGAATAATCTAAAGATGAAGGCCACCCTCGGATTCAACATTTATACCGACATATACTTCCAATACTAACTAAACGACTTGCGGTTGAAGGGGACCATAGAAATACAAGATTGATAGGTGGTATCCTAATGTAATATTGAGGAAGGAACGCAAAGCGTATCGTATCATCTCCTTGAAGACGCAGAAACCAAATCTACTTTCAGAAAATACTCGGCTGCTATTCGCAAATCCGTCGTCCTGCTCGGTATTTAACATGAACCCGTGAATCGTGCCGCGGCTTGTCCTAAGAGTGCCCTACCTATGAAAATGCCAGCCCAGACCAGAACCACCGCGCCTAATGAAAGCCTTTCTTTTTTTCATCTAACTCCGCGTATTTATACCTAACAATCACGCTCTTATACTGTGCCACTGATGCTGAGTTCCCGAATCTCTTGCAATACTTGCTCCACTCTCGAGTCCAGTTGACCTTGGGCGTACTGCTCCCTAGTATCCGCATCCAAGTACTGTTGAACTTGAGCCATTCTACTATAAGCCTCGGCACAGAATCGAAGTTGGATCTTGACGAGGGCCTCGAAGCTTGGGTCAAGGTAGGGTACTCGAAGGTCGATAAGCTGAGGTAGCTCGGTGGATAGCTGCTCGTTGAGTTGTTCGTAGGCAGCCTTAGCGATTTCCATCTCTTTCTCCGTGCGTGGAAGTTTCGTTACATCCTTATCGGGCTTCTCGGCTAATTTCTTGACTTTCGCTCGTAACGCATCGTAGTCCAGCAGCTTGTGGCCACGTTTCTTGATGCCTAGATGGGATGTTAATGGTGAATACGACTAAGAAGGATATGGAGACCCTACATTCATTGACGTCGGGGAAATATGCGCAGAACTTAGTGATAGGTTCTAATACTGTTGTTCTAGAACATGTTAGCTCAGTACCCCCAATATCACATCTCTTCAAACCTATACCTATATGGACCATCCAGCGCCTTTATCGTTTCTGTATCTAAATCTTCCACGGCTTGTTTGTAGCTTCTGCTAACACCATCCTTAGCTCCGGCATCACCATAGAAAGCATCTATCGTCTCGGCTATGCGCATTTGAGAGGCAGTCATCGCTATAAAATATTTTTAGTATACCGCCCACTTCGCACTCTCGATTTTGAAGACTCTCAGCTCACCTCGTATCGAATCTAAATACCCTCTGGCTTCTTTCTGGAGACGTAGCGAAGCAGCTTCCATTGTCCGAAATCGTCGCTCCTCGACTTCGTAATCACGATCGTTTGTCTTTTCGACATGGCCCGTCTTCATCATCACCTGGGTCGTTGCACGATTGACATTTTTCTTGAAGCCTGTAAAAGGGATAAGTTAGAAATGACCAAGTCCGCTATAATTTGATGCCTGATATAATAATTCGGGGTTCATACCTGCCCACGACATGGTTGCGACTTTGCTCCGTTCTGCTCTGCACTATTTGTATTGACAATAACGAATAGTGGTAATTTAAATATGCAATTGTGGTCTAGATAGTCGGAGAATGAGAATCGTTTGGGAGTTGTCAATTTGATATTAACAGTGAGGTAGAATTGTAGAAGGTTAGAAGGATTGACGAATCCGAATTGTGTTTGTAGGATGGTTTGGTTGGTTTAGGTGACAATTGGTCGCAGGCTGTCGTGGCTGAGCATTTGTACATCGGGCCATTAGAATCGTGATGGGAACCTGAATCCATAGGTCCTACGTCAGCGAAGTAACTGCGCCACAGATACGGCTAGTCGGCACCCCACCTACTGGTTGCGTCAGGTACCTGACTTAAGATACTTTATACGCACTGTACTTCGTATTGATTACATAGAGGTTGCTAAGCTAAATCCAGACCTGTGTCCGCTTTATTTTTCACCTATGGGAAGCTTAGAAAACTGCAAAGACATTATCAAATATCCCATTTCTACATTCTACATCAAGTCCTTCAACATTTCCATTTGCTTAAACAGGAGGGCCTGATTGGTCCAAAATATGTTCAATCCTCGTTTTTTGATTGTCAGCCTAGGCAATCAAGCACCATACTACGAATGCCTCCACTCCGCCGGCCATTTTGCACTTGCTTCATTGCAAAGGCTACTTAGTCCAACCCAACCACCATTCACATCCGAACGATATGGCGGGAAATCTTGCTTGGCTTCGACAGGCTATACATATACCATATTGCAGAGCCCAACCCAAATGAATATTTCAGGTCCTTGGCTTGCCAAAACTTGGAAGGAGATGCTGCAATATCACCAGCTGAAACCGTCCGAACTGAGTCTCGTATTAGTCCACGATGATCTAGAGGAAGATCTGGGCCACGTTAAAATTCGAAAGTGGAACGCGAGCCACCGAGGGCACAACGGTGTTAAAAGTGTCAACGCAAGCATAAAACCTGCGAACTTCCCCGGCGCATACTGGTCACGCATATCGATTGGTATCGGCCGACCCGACGCTAGAGACCACACATCTGTTTCCGACTATGTGCTGAAGAAAATGACCAGATACCAAAAGGATGTTATCGACTCCGAAGTTGGTCCGAGAGTGCTTGAATGTTTGCACGACATACAGGAAGGTTGGGAACGGGAGTACAGTAAAGCGGCTGCAAAACCCTGAATTTCTCGCCTGTGATCGAGAACGCCGATTCATTATTCCGGATTCCACCCAAAGAAGCAGCAGATAAGTGCGTAGACCACAAGTGTTCGTGCGAATATGGCTCTTATCCCCGGACCTTCAAATTTTAGCGTCCAAGATTAGGTTATATTCTTCTATAGCTCATCTTCGCACTCTAGATTCGTACTCTAGATTCCCACGCTGAATTGTCGGAAGTTGTCGGGTATGTCTCGGACAACTTCCGTAGCATCGCTGACTTATTGGTACTCAAGAATGGAATTCTTAGGTTAGAATCTTTTCATGCATGTGCATTCTGGACACTTCCACTGAACAAGGCCAAGACACGGTCGACACGCCAGCGAGGTCCATCCCCAAAACAAATATAACTTGCCGCCAATTTCCAAATAAGGGATTGTATCATATCTAGTAGAGGGCGCTCTACTTGATTCGAATCCCAGATTTGTAGCACCCGATCGAGTTGCCTGGATGATTCGAGGCTTAGGCATCTGCGAAGCTCTAGCTCGACGGCCATCGGAGATAACCACCCAGTGGTGTCCTGGCCCTTTGATTTATAGTCGTTCATGACTTGTTCCTGCAGAATAAATGCCGAATCGATTTCACCAGCGGGATTATTCCCTTCGATATAACCACGGTCGCGGAATTCGCGACGTGCCTCCGCCAGTGCTATGATATATCGTACATTGTGTAAAGGCGGTGAGTGCTGAACCATGTTCCAGATTACTTCCCTCGCTTCCCTTGCTACTCGGGGATTTGTATGCGCGTATAGCTCGGCCCTCCGGCACTGTTCCAGTAGAAGCTCGCCGCAAGCCCAAAATAGCCGACCGGCGAAGGTGCTCATCCCTTTTCCGAGATATGGAATGATGTCCGAAGGGGGTTTGTCTACCCGTATGAATCGAGATGTGTCAAACCATAACCCATAGTCCAATCTTGTACTCATCCATCCTATGTCAGTTCCTCTTCCGAGCGGAGTCGAGTCCTGAGACTTCAAGATCCAACCCGATCGAGCACCAATACTGGAAGGTATTCCTTGTGTATTAGTACCCGACCCGGTCGACGGCACAAGGTTTGCGGATGAAAGATCCCTCGAGCTAGGTGATGGTTGTGACGACCCCGTAATGCGCATTGTTTGATTACCTCCTTCATCGATAAGCTCGGCGACAATATGTTCGTCTAAGCCGGTCACTCCAGCAGCTTCCTGGATCGCTTTGACCAGCTCCGGGCGATCGTCATGTCGGACTACCCGGACAATTTTTGAGATGGCCTCTTTTAACCTCTGGGTCTCGTTACGCTTATCTCGTGACTTGTTACTCTGGCGCTTCCGGAATGCGCGCTGTGCAATCTTGCCGCGTTCACGCCGTCGCTAAACATACATTAGCCGCGATTTCTAGGATACTAGGATACTATCTATAAGGATGAGCAATCATCTAATAGGGGCATTTGTTTCTTACGCGTAATTCTTCTTCGGCCTGTTCTAGCTGCTTCAATCTTTCGGATTCCATTGTAATATAACGCTTGCTCCGCCTAAAATTGGTGTATTCAGGATAGGTATCTATTGATGAAATGTAAAATTACTGCACTTCCATACCTTGTATACGTAGGTAACCAGCAAATAGCGGGCGAACAATCACTCCGATCGCGTAACATCACGGAACGCGGAATTAGTAAGCTTAAACTAGTAAAGGACGGCAACCTTGTCTTCCCTCAGCTGTATTAGCATTGATACAAAGCTATTGACTACATTACCTAATAAACTCAGGCATTATCTAATATTCTCAATAGAATTACGACAAAGGTATCCGCTTGACTGGCATACATAAAACAGCAAACCCACTATTTTCAGTATCGATATATCAAGATTGGCTAAAGGATATAGACTGGTTGCGTTGAACTTACGTACTCTACCGATTATACATAAAGGGTTTGCTGTTTTATGCCAGTCAAGCAGATACATGTAGCTTCATTAGATTTAACAGCAAACTACTTGGAATTAGGTACTTTAAATCGCATTCGCCAAGAGACCATTATTGCAAGTGTACGATAAACATTAACCTAGAGATGTTAGTAACCACTAGAACTGTATTCCATCAAAGTAATGCGCACTTTCCACGCGACAAGATTTAATTAAGGAATTACCAACTAGAAAGAGCAGTGAACATAGAAGCGCACAGCATAAATCTTACACGTACCTTAGGTAGGTACCTAAGGTAGTTGGTGGGCACCAGCGTGAATTGCGTAGATACCTTCCTAAGGTTTGCCTAAGATACCCAAGGTACCCAACACAAATCGCCCTTCCACAACTTGCCATTGGATAAGTGTTTAACCCAAAGAAATTCATGTCGAGATTTTACAATTGTTACATGTATTGCTTCACACGACTTGCTAAAAAAGTCGCAGCGCAAGATGGTTTTGTGTGGAACAGTTAGTGTCAGCAGACACCTCACACTGGCAATCCAATGCTTGATGACTCTTTGGTATTTTGTGAACTTTATCATTATCTTCTCCAACTTTCTTATCATATTTTTAAGGAATAACGTAGACTCTTAAATAGAACCGTGCTGCCGATCGGTCTTGCTGTTCTTTCACCCCCATGATGTTTGCTACATTCACTACACTTGTCCTAATACTCCCAAGGAGTGCAGCCATTCGAATCCCTAACGACTCATTGCGTATCAAGGTACGCTTGACTCACTTTCCATGCAGATATATTTGCATTCGGTAACCAGTATCAAGAAGGTATTTGAAGCTTGAGATAGGACCACCTGCGCAGAACTAGGTTTCCGTCCTCAGGCGATAATAAAGTCACGTTCACCACCTAACCATACTCGCCAACACTATTTATACTCGTAGGTACATACCATTACCTCTATATTTTGACTATATAGGTAGTCTATTGACTTGCCGACACTTATTCCAGACTGACAAGGCAATCAATAACTACCTTTCTAACTTTGGTAGATAGGGAGACTGGGTTTTGTAATTGGTTTTATTAAACCTCAGCTTTAAAGGTGTACCTATCTAAGAACGCGCCGCTATAGATTCCCGGGTCGAAGTGGCATCTGAACAAGATAAAAAGTGGAAGGCACAGGTAGCATTACAAGAATCCCGGATTAAGCTCTACCTTCGTATTGGGCCAGAGAACGCGTTGAAGATTAAGTCGAGCTTAAGGCCGCAACCGTCTCAGAACAGCAGCAGCACTTCTTCACATACTACATCTAAAACTCCATCAAGCCAGACCAGCGAGGTGGGTGGTGAAGCACACGGGTCAGAAACGTCGCAAAGTTTAGCAGAGATGCCCCATCGCCGCCCCTCTCCATCGCCTCAGGAGGAATCAAGGCCACCTTTCGAATCCACTAGGAACACATGGGACTTATGGGATAATTCGACCGAGTGGCCCTGGAAGCAATATGAAGCACGGTTCAGATCAGCGAAGAATGCTCTTCGGATATTTGCATCGCCTATAGTACATTTCTGCGTAGAGCATGATTTGCTCCGAAACAAGAATGATATAGACGGATTGCTCGACATGATAGACGTCTTACTCCCGGCCGACTCTGTCGACAATTGCACCGAGGCTGTTATCAGACACTTGGCCTTTCAGAGAAGGTTCTCAGAAATAGCCAAACTTGAAGAACAGAGACGCGAGCTTAACGGTCCCGACTATATCAACAGATTGAACGTTGTCGCCAGCGAACTATTTGATAGGACGGAACTGTTTTTCTTCATGCTCATTCATACTGTGAAGCGTCAGAAAAGGATGGAAAAGCGTAGATATGAAGAGCACAGGGATTGGAACAAAAGTCAAGCTCAGAAGGGTCGCGGAAATTATCTTGGTCTATCTCGTGGTTTGCCATCTCCACTTCGCCATGAGCTCAAGGTCGATGATTTCAGTCCAGAACAATCCTCATACAGTACTGGTGAGACGGTTGATGGCCCTCTTGAGCCGGAGAACTTTGAAGAACAGGCCGGGGCATGGGGCCCTAGCAATCCCGACGACGTGGAATGGTGATTATATGCAGGGAAGAGATATATGACAATGGCTTCAGGGCTAATTGTACATGAAGTAGTCCTCCTACTGGATAAGGGAGTTACGATGAAATCTGACTACTTATTTCTGTATTCTAGAATCTATATACACTGACGTTGGCCTCGGTCACTCTTGTCGCGAGATAACACTCTATTATATTATATTTTTGGCGGTTGATGAATGTCTAATTATCTATAGTTATATTTATTTTACTTATAATATTTATATTTCCATAAGTGTCATCTTGCGGATGACATGTTGATACCTGGCTGCTGTTGCGGAGATTACACGTCGGGCACGATCCTTTGCTGTACTTTCTATCTCTGCTTAACTAAAGCATATAAATGGTATTTTATTGAAGTTACTGGGTTAGTTACATCCCCAATGACCGAATTGCTTCGGCTAGCTCAACTTACATGATCCTGTGCTATAGGGCGACCAATGAACGCTCGCGGTGCTCTAGCGAGATGCCTATTGTAGTAACCCCCCATACGCCATCTACCCCGCGGCTTGGCGTAATAGAACTTGAAGCTGAGCATTGATTCGTCAACAAACGGCTTTCAGAACATTCGCGTTACGATTCTCGAAATACTGTTAATTTTATCGGCGCTATATCCGCGATCTTTGTCGGAATATACTATCATGATTTTATTGGTAAGAGATATTTGTCCTATAAACAGCCGCTACATGCTACACTCTTAACATATTGCCCAACGTTAAGTCTATCATCTAATTTAAATCATACAACACCCCTAAAATCTTCTAAGTACTGCTCGCGTGACGAGATAAAAAAGCATAACCGTCATGAATGGCTCGAACGGCCTCTTCGTTCCCTTCGTGGCTGCGATACATATCAAACAAATGCGCAGCATTGTTTATAAGTCTTAATTCTGAATCAACGCCCTGGGTACGTAGCTCATCGGCCGTGCGCTGAGCTTGCTGCCAAGGGATCAGATCATCTTCGTACGGGTGGACCAAGAACGTAGGCGTGCGATATCTGCCGTCTCGAATGTGTGCTAGTGGGCTGATGGCTTGGACCTGAGTGGGTGTGGGTGTTGGGAGCTGTGGCATTCCGTCCTGTTGTGCGCTCTTCTTTAGGCCATGGACTAGGACTGGCACTGTCTGTCCGTGCCAGTTCATGTGGAGGACAATGCGCGAGCGAGCGTCGTTCTTAGCCATCCATCCACCTGCCGCTCGTGACCCTGTAGGGGGATTATATGCCGTTATTGGTGAGTCTTCTACCCCGTCTAATAAATTGTACGTGTCTGTCATGACTGCGTCTCCATAAGGCTTATTCTCTCGCGACCAGCATTTATCTTCGTAGTCGGTGGGACAGTAGAAGGCTAAGATAGCCTGTGGCGGCTGTAGGCCTGTGCTCGGAGCGCTCCAGCCTAGGCTCAGGGCTAGGGTACCTCCAGTTGACCAGCCGACTGCGACTACGCGCTCGCCGTTAATTCGAATGTCGGATCGCTTTCTAGCTATGGATGGTAGTGTGTTGCGCACCCATCTCAAAGCGTCACGAACATCTGTTATGGGTCCCTCTTCTAAGGTGGTCTCCGGACAGAGGCGATAGTCGATACTAACAGGAACGAAGCCGGCGTCTAACAAGATCTGGGTTTGCTTCGGGCGTATGTCTTTTCTTGATAGCATTATGTGACCTCCGCCGTGTATCATTATAGCTACATTCCTTAGTCAGTAAATAAAAGGTACGAGTAAGTGAGCCAGTCAGTTGTTCTTACCAACAGGTCGCGCATCGCTGCCGGTCTGTATTGTTGGTGGGTAGTATATGTCGGCTTGTAGTGGGAGGGATCCAGCATGCTTGAATGTTACTGTCTCCTGCGTCTCGGGAACTATTTCTAGCTCCTGGTCCGAACTATTAACCGCGGAACTCGAACGCTGAGCAGATGGTGATGCCGCTATGATGCGTAAGATTTTACTCTCCGCGCTAGAACCTGCCGACCAGTCAACCCATTGGAAGCCCGAAGCCTGGAGCTTCGTTTTCCATTGCGCTGCAGGAATCAGGGCATGAGTGCGATCGTCCTCGAACAGCCACCAACCTTCAACCAGCCCCCAGACAAGGTCGTACCAAAACAGGTTTTCCTCGTTCTCGACGAGACATAGCAACCCGTCTTCGCGTAGTAGATGCCGAATGTTGGTACACGACCGGACAAGATTCGAAGTCGCGTGGATACAATTAGTTGAGATGATTAGGTCGAACCGTCCCTGGAGGTCCGTGGGAGGCTCCTTTTCAATGTCTATTACCGCATATTCCATAAAAGGATACTGGGCGAATGTCCGTTTAGCAGTAGCTACAAGTGATCGTGAGACGTCCGAGAAAGTATATACAATCCTTTGCTTCACATCACTCTTCTCAAACAAATCAACTAACGTTTTAGTCGTTCCACCAGTACCACCGCCGAGCTCGAGGATGCGGATCTCGCGCTTGCCCTGGAATTTCTCACACACGTTGGTCAAAAACCGTGAAAGGAATGATGTAGCGGCTCGGAATAGGGGTGCGGTAGCGTACACATCTCCCATTAACTTGCGCGCTTCGACATCGCCGAACATAACGGCTAGAGGGTCTAGCCGGCCTGTAAGGCAATTAGCGAGCCGGGCGCCGGTGTTGCGCAGGAGCTGGTGTTCAATTGCATATTCGGGAAATTTTTCAACGATGGCGCTATGCAACTCCTGAGACGATGCACGGGTCACTAGCTGGCCCGTCCTGATAGCACTGCCGTCTTTAGACGTAATTAAACTCGCGTCTTCCAGAATCCTGTGCAGTTGAGCTACGAGCTTCTCGTGTTTTGGCAGGTATTTAAAGTCGGGTAGACGTTCTCCAGCGTGAAGTAAACGTATATCACAGCCCAGGTCGGCGAATGCTTCGACGGTGTACGCGACGACTAGTTGTGCCTGGAATGGATACACGGTTTTGCGGAAACCTATGAGGTCGTGCTTCTGTGCATCCTCGTCGAAAGTGTTTCTGTTTGCAGAGAGCCAGTCATTAGCAACAGCTGCGATGCCCCCGTCATCGTTAGACTTTTCTTTTTCTTCGTCATCCTCTTCGTGGTTATGTGTTACTTCATTTAGGCTTCGTGTTTCCGGTGCTGCGGGAATAGGAGTAGGGGTAGATGACTCCCCTCCTAGAATCCGGATTAGGGACTGGACATCAGTCAGATCCTGCAGGTCGTCAATAGATAGAGTCACCCCAAAGTGTTTCTGAATTTCGCTAGATATTTCGGTAATCATCAGCGAGTCAACGCCCAGGTCGGCTAGGTCGGCGTCCGGTTGAACCTCTTCGATGCTCATTCCGAAGATGTCGCTTAGCATTTTGCGGACCGACTGGTTGACCCCAGAAGCGGCAGAGGGAGTACCGCCAGTGTCGGGTTTGGACATCGTCGTGGAATGATCATCAAGTCGCGTTATGCCGTTGTTAAGAGGAACCTGTGGCTGCTGGGTCTGGACGGCATCCGTGAAGACATCATTTGTGGTCGATGGAAACGAGGGCGATTTAGATGGTGCAGGAGTGGTTGTGTTCCCATTTATCTTGGACAGGACCCTCCGTAGTGATGTGAGGGATACCTGAGTAAATTCGGCGCCCAAGAAAGCTAGGACGACAGAACCTGTTGTGGGATCTAGGACGAATACGTCGTTGACGAGTGTGTTCTTGCCTTTGGCCTCCATGTTGGAATATACTCTCCACGTCCGTTTCTTCGAAGATATTTCTTGGCTGACTGACTGTAGTAACGACTCGCTCCATAGTACTTCTCCAATGGCGTTGCACACAGAAACATCATCATCGCCACCGTTTTCCTGTAAGCAATTTGCATGAATACCCGCAACCTGCAAGAAGTTATCGACAGCTAGGGGGTCGGAGATAGCAGAAGCAAGACGATCTGCTTCGGGACCGTGTGGCATAAGTACATCACCGACGACTTCTCCATTAAAAGCGATCGTATTACGAACCCCCTTATAATACGGAGCATAGTTGACGACTCGACTGAATATCTTATACAATATATCACCGGCAAGTCGGTTCGCTTCGAGAGATGAAGCAATTTGGTCGTACCTCGATCTTCCTAACAAGCGCCCGAGAGATCGGAAGCGGGAGGACGCTACGGCTGCATCGAGTAAGGCTATAGAACCTTGGGCGTGGTTGGTGTGTTGAGTTGGTGGTGTACGTTGGTCTCCGGTTTCAGGCAATGAGAAGAACCGGAATGACCATTTCGTACTGCTACTTCCCTGTTTAAGGCTAATACGGAGAGATCCATTGGGTTTGAGTCCCAAGGGCGAAAGAATATGCATATTCTCTATTTGGGGAACTTTAGAGCTGCTCTTCGCCTCGGCACCTTGGAGTACTTTTGCGGCCCGAATGGCCAGCTCGAAATATAAACCCGCCGGACATAGGCTTTGGCCAACAACAGCGTGACCTTTGACGCTTAGCTCGAAGATTTCATGCGAGGCATCCACAGCGAATATGGCTTCTCCATCCACGTCTCCAAGTCTTCGTACTAATTCCGGTAAACCCGTAGTAGGCGGTGGCGTCTCAACCACAGCCTGCGGTCTATAGGATCGGAATTGTATCCAATGTTTTGTCTTGGCAAATTGGTACGGAGGTAGATCCAACCACTTATACTGATCCGTTCGGGCGCCATGGAAGGCCCAAAAGTCTACATTTGACCCGGCTCCCCAAAGCCCAGAAGCAGCCCTAGCAAGACTACTCCAAGGGTTGCCTTTGCCTAGGTCAATCGATAGAAACACGTCTTTTTCGGTGTCTCGTGTGACTGGCAGTGCGCGACGCACCATGCCAATAATCGGGGATGCTGAACCGGCCTCGAGCCAGACGGATGTCGGGTTTTGGTTAGCAATCCTCTGGACTGCCTCGCCGAAATAGACGGGTTCGCGGGTGTGGCTTGCAATCTTAACACTGTCAATGCTGGTCCAACTTTGGTTGGGCGAGCACGCCTCGAGGCGAATTGATGGCTTTCTCCAGGTAAGGGTTGAAGCTAAGGCTTGGAGGTCGTCTAGAATGGGATCAGCAAGGCG